GAGCTGTATTCTGGTCACCAGCAAAGGTCCAGAAAGCTCGGGATTTTCAGGCCCAGAAAGAGGCAGAGGAGAAGGCAATACAGGCCCAGAAAGATGAGGAGACAAAGCTTAGGGAGCAGCAGAAGCTTCAAAAAGCAGCTCTACTAGAGGAGAGACGCCGTGAGAGAGCTGCCGCTAAAGCAGAGCGTGCCCGGGAACGTGAGCAAAAGGCTATTGAAGCTCAGGAAGTGCGCCAGGCCCGGGCAATTGAAAAACAACTCCGTGAGGAGCTCAAAGCTTCCCAAAAGGGTAATCAGAAAAGCCTCAAGCCTACTAGGTCAAGCACGAAGGACATTGAGCATGTACAGCCTGAGATATTGCCTGTTGAAGATGGGGTGCCCAATTTGGGCCCTTCAACGCGTACCCGCAAAATACGCCTGCCCCAGCGGTTTCAGTAGCTAATTAGGTGCTAGAATTACTTGGCAAGCTTCTCCAATTATTACTACAAAAAATCTGGCGATTTTACAATATATATTGAGCTCTACAGCCTCATCTTTGTGGGTGGCGATTATGCTGAAATCGTGCATTTGGTGGGAACGTGCACTTGCTGACCTAATACGTTAAGTCTTGGCAAGTTACAGCTGCTCTAGGCCCATGGATCACATTGACCCACACTTTGAAGTTACGGACATGACTACGCATACATGTATCCAGATTACATCACAAGCACAGCAAAAGACGTGTCAAGTCACAGTCGAGAACATCAAAAGAGTTCGCCGTCAAGAAGCTCCCTATCCAAACCGGATAGAGATATCCATTCCATAGCTGATGATTGTCCATGTCCGCCAGTCGTCTGGCCTCGAATCCCACCATTGCATCGCCCATTCCTTGCCTTGGGAAGCACAGTTCCCGGACGAAAAAACAAGTGATAGCAAATGCTCGAAGACAAAGCTAGTCGTCCGCCATTCGTTGAATATCAATCCATCCGCATTTCCTGAGATCCTTCGTTCGAGTTCCATGTTTGCGCGGGTTCTTCGTTATTCGCCGCAAAGTAAAAGAAGAAAAAGCACATTCCGCCTCCTTGCTCTGTCTCCAAGAAACCGCTCTCCCCATCGTCCACGTGAATCTCCCTTTTTGATGCAAGATTTCCCTAGTTCCTCTCAGGATGTTCGCTCGTAAACCGTTGAGATCCCCTTGACGAATATGGTGCCAGCCTGTCAAGAAACCTAGTCGATGATGCCTGGGTGATGATGCTTTTTCGTGAAACTGGAAAAGCAGCAGCCAGCCGCAAAAATAGGAAAAATGTACAGTGAAAGGAAAAGTTCGTAAACCGAGTCGATGGGTCATGAAACCGCGGGGCCGTGTCTAAGCCAAATGACAAGTCCAAATCCAGAGTGATTGAATTGCGCGACTAGGCCGCCTTGAAAGACAGATCCGGATTAGAAGCCGACGAAGGAGCGCAGCAGCTTAGTTGGGGCATGCGCTCTGGACGTGTCCGGGCTGCTTGCAGCGGTAGCAAACGCGCTCGGTGCTGGCCTCGGAGGGGCAGTCGCGGGACAGATGGCCGACCTCACCACCTGTGGTAATGTCAGTACAGAAAGAGAAAAAATTGCTGGATTCCTTCTTACAGTTATAGCACTTCTGGCCCTGGGTGCAGTCGCGGCTCATGTGGCCGAAACCACCGCACGAGTAGCAAGTGGTCTGCAGTGGGTCAGCATCATATCGTACCGGAACACCTTCGTGACCTCCTCATACCTGACGCGCACCACCATAGCCAGCACCGCCGCCATAGCCTCCACGTCCACCATAGCCGCCGCCGTAACCACCACCCTGGTTGCAGTTGCGAGCAATGTGGCCCCGCTGTCCGCACTTGTAGCACTCTTGGCCGCCAGCACCGCCGCCCATACCGGCACCGCCCTCCTTGGTGCACTCACGGCTGATGTGACCAGTAGAGCCGCATCGGTAGCAAGTCTTCTCGGCCTGAGGGGAGGTGCATTCCCTGCTCAAGTGGCCCTTTTCGCCGCAGTTGTAGCAGGTCGGGTTGCCCTTGGTGGGGCAGTCGGCAGCACGGTGAGACTGGTCGCCGCCTATGTGTCGTTAGTATTGGGTGCGCTAGAGAGAGAGACAGGGAGAGAAATGAAGAATTTGTCGCCACTGGGCACCGCCCTTTGTTCCCTAGCGCAATGCAGAATTGGATCCAAAGAACGAGCGGGCAAGTGTGCGAGCTCGAAAAAAGGAATGAACATACAATTGTAGCAGCCACGGCCACCGGCGGCAGCGCCTTGTCCTTGGTACTCCATCGTATGCGGAAGAGGGTTGTAGGTAGGAAGAAGAGAAAAAACCTAACAAAACGAGTCAGCAAGACGGTCCTTTTGCAGTCAATAGCGGGGTAGGCAGGAATAAGACAGCAGGCGCAATCCGCTCTAGATTACGGGTTGAATCGTTCGAAACGAAAGGGAGACTGACCTTGAAAACTGGCCGCTTGCAACTGTTGTGGGAATGAGAAGCAAAAGCTGGTGTAAGAAGGACGGGGGAAGGCAAAAGGCGCGGCAAGCTTTGTACCCGCGCGTGCTTCACAAAAAATCAATCGGTGTGCAGAGGCGAGCCAGGGACGAGCTAGCTGCGGTCGGCTAGCGTCTTGGCAGATATCTCGGTCAACCAGCAACTCGAGCTCTGCAGTGCAGATGTCACTGCAAAGTCGCGCGGACGGTGAATTATCACTTCCACACCGACTCAAGCAGCAATCCCACACATCGTCTAAGGTATATCACACCTCCAAAATGGCGAAATCCTCACCGTCAGTGGATCTCTACGGAGTAGGTTGTATGGCAGTGGCAAAAGAACACGTAGCACATGCACGAGGGAGAAGAACGGAACCCGTAATAGGATAGATATACGTACCTCGGGTCGATCTTTAATCTTCGAAATAGCCATCTCCATAGCATACTGGCTGGTGCATACGAGCGGACATCCAGAGGCCTCGTATACCATAGTAATGATCTGTCCAGCAGCGTACACTTATCCAAACGAGACATCCATCTCTCACACACATTCTTGACAGCGGTAACACTCCCAGAACCACTCTAAAGCCAACGACACCCCTCTTCCCAGCGCTATGCAACCAACTAGCAAAACCTTCTCTATATATATGTATGCAAGCGTTACCGCTAAAAGCAATTAGTGAAAAACGGGGGGTATAATAACCAAAAACACCCAAAAAGACTCGAACCTCTTCTCCTCCGCGCTATGCAATTGTCTTCGCCCCATCTCTCACAGAGAAACCAGAGAGGCATAGATTTTATCCAACCTCTCCCTTCTCTTCGCTGTGCTTCCTCCTCTTACCGCCTCCCAGCCCCACCCCCGACACTACCAACCAACCCTCTCTGCCTCCCCAACCAACTCTTCGGCGCCTCTCTGCGCTGCAAAATCACCGTATTGCTCTGCAGCCGCGTCGTCATGTCGTACCAAGCCGACATGATGAGCTTGTTCTCGCGCCGCAGATTCTCGACTTCCTGCTGGAGCTCGGCCTGCATTGCGGTTAGCTACAGCTTAGACTCCGTGAGTGGCGTAATAGTGGGAAATGTGCGCAAGGTAATGATGATGAATGTGTACGAGTAATAGAGGGACTCGTAGCCATGACTGCCAAGGGGAAAAAAAGGGAAATACTCACCGAGCCCTTCTCCCCGCTCTCCTTTCTCGCCTCCTCCAACTGCCCGCGCAACGCCTCGCTCGTCGCTTTTTCCGCTTGCAGATCCTACATCCAGCGTCAGTCCCATGGAAGCCCACGTCATCTCCAGCAGAGCAACGGCAACGGAGGTAAGGAATACGCAGCAGGAGAGGGCAAAGAGGGTGGCATCGGAGACACCAACACCAACATGAGCGCCGAGATCGGATGCACGGCGACGTGCCACTCGTAAGGAGGAGGAAGAAGGCTGCTTCGACAGCGTTGTCTCGGGCGGCGCTCCTTTCACAGCCCCACCGGCTCTCCTCCGCTGGCGGAACAACTGCTGCGAAATGTGCGCCAGACTTGCGAAGGCCGTCGACCCCGTGCTCGCGCTCCGCACCCTAGCCGACGACGACGACTCACTGCTGCCCTTCGCAGGCCTCCTCCTCGTCCTCTCCTTGCTGTGCCCGTCCGTCGTATCGCTGGTACTCGGCAAGGTGGGGAAGCTCGCATGCATAGGGGACCCCAACTTCCTCAACGAAAAGGAAAAGGAAAGCGAAACAGAGTTGACGGCTACATCGCCGCGGAAGAGGTTAGGGGACATCTCGCTGGCAAGACTCACTTTCTTCACCCCCTCCAACTTCGCCTTGGCCTCCATGACCGTCTTCGCTATCTCCGTCGCCTCGGCCTCAAGCACCTTGGCTCTCGTCTCGGGCGTCGCTTGCACGACGCGCTCAATCTGTTCGCGCACACGCTGGAGAAGCTCCGTCCGCATAATCTCGAGTAACTCGGGACTCAGATTATCCCTGTCGAGCAAAGCAGCGCGGAGGAGGCCGGACTTCTCGTCATTGGCGAGTTCGAGGTCGCGGAGCTTTTGGTTGGTTTTGTGTTGGAGGGAGAGGAGGCGTTGGATTTCGGCTTCGAAAGTGTTGTTCTTGGTGGATTCGTCGATGTCGCTTTCTTTCGAGACCGTCAGTAAGCAGTCAATATACAGTGTGAAGTTGGCAATTCCTCCTCACTCTTTGTGAGCTCGTTCTGGAGCTCCGCCGTTTGCAGATCCTTCTCGCGGAGCCGGCGCTGAAGCTCCTGTATCTCGGCCTCGGCGGCCTGAAGCCTTTCGTTCTGTTCAAGGAACGGCCTGCATTGTGAGCTACGCAGTATACATGGCCAATGGCCGTTGTAGGCTCATACCTCTGGGACTCCTCGTCTTTGCTGTTCATCATATCCGCCCTCAAGCCCAGATTCTCCTGCATTTGCTTGAGAGTCTCGCTCTCCAACGACTTCAACCTCGCCGTCAAAATCTCCACCTTTTGCTGCAGAGCAATCGTATCCGACGACACCCTCCCCTCCATCAGGCTGATGGAACTCATCTGCGCATCGAGATTCTCCACGCTCTCATCCTGCGTAAGCTCGTCCTCCAAGCTACCACCCCTATTGACATGGCTCGACGACTCGAGCTCACGGATCCGCTCTTCAAGCTCGCGCTTCGCATCCTCGGCCTTGTACTGCAACTCCCTCGTCTGCTCGAGCTGTTTCATGAGGACCAGATTCTCATGCTCGACCCTAGTCCTCTTTCCCTTCTCCTCGAAGATCGACTGCTCACACTGCACAATCGTCTGCCCATTCTCCCGATTCACCTTCTCGAGGGCCAGGCACCGTTCCTCAACCGCTTCCAACTCCTGCAGCCTCTCCCTCGCATGCTGATAATCCTCACGTAGCTGCTCGAGGTTCCTCGTCTCGAGCGTCAAGCTCTGAATCTTCTTCTTCAAGTTCTCATTCGCCTTTGCCTTTTGCTTCAACTCGTCCCTCTCGGCCTTAACCAGCTGCAACTGATCCCTCAGCTCCTGCCTCGCGGCCTCCTCCGCCGTCAACCGTTCCAGCCGCCTCTTCTGACTATCCACAATCTCCCTCGCCGACTGCAGATCCGCCTCCAGCCCCTCAATGTACTGCCTCTCCCTCGCCAAATCGTGCCTCAGCTTCTCCACCACCTCGTCCGACGCCGTGCCCTGCTCCGGGCCGCGAACATCCAGATGCAACCGCGCCTCCGCGAGCTCCTCCTCCAACCGCGCCACCCGTCCCCTCGACACCTCCAACTCGGACTGCAGCTGCGTGACCTGCTTCCTTAGCGCATTTCGCTCCTTGTTCGCCTCAAACAACTGCGCCTCCTGCTCCAGCGCCGAATCCCGCTCAATCGTTGCAGTCGTTGTCGTCGTCCCTGCCGCCGTTGCCCCTTGCAGCCCTCCTCCGCCCACCCCGGAACCCACCCTCGTCGGCGTCCTATATCCCGTCGGCAAAGGCCCCGCCTCAGCCGTCAACTCGGCCTCGACGCCCAAACTCGCCATCCGCTGATCCAGCGCCTGCAACTCCTGAATCGCCTCGGCAATCACCTCGCCATGCTTCCCCGGCAGATCCGTCATAACCTTGACCATGCGCTCGTTCGACTTGGGCGAGTACAGGCTCGCGAGGAGGACGGCCATGGTGAGCTTGGCCGTCAGCATGGTCGAGCCGTCGCGCGCGCCGATGCCCGTTTTCAGGTCCGGGATGAGGCGCTTCGTCAAGACGGGGAGTTGGCCGCAGGACTCGCGGATGTAGGTGGAGACGGCGCGTTCGATGTGTTTGAGGTTTTGCCAGCGGGGGATCCAGTTGTCTGTCGCGGAGGCGGAGGACGAGGAGGAGACGCGGCGGGCATTGCTGTGGGAGGTGGTGAGGTGGCTGTTGTGGGTCTCAGAAATGTCGGAGTTGGGTAGTGAGTCGTTGAAATAGGAGGCGTCGATGTCGGAGAGCAATTGCCAGAGGATTTGGCCGTCTTCCAGTTGGGTCCAGCTGGTGATGCGGCCGGGAAGGTCGAAGGTGTTCACCTGCGCTCCGAAAAGCGGGGTTGTCAGACATGGTGTTTCTACAGAGGGGGCACAAGATGTAACGGTGCATGCATACCCATTCTAGGAGCGCTTTGAGCAGCTCCGGCTTGAAGTCGTCCATTGTGTAATCGGTAGGCGGTGGCCTAGGACCCGCCAGGGCCCTGTGTTATTTTGCAACGTGATCCAGAAGCCGGTAAGCTGCGTTTATGCATCATGAGCGGGCGGAGATAGACATGCGAGGCGGGCGGGCGTGCGAGCGGTTGAGTGCATGTGACGGTTGAGGTGTGGAGTCCACTGTGCTGTGAAAGGGGTGCTCGGACGTGGAGAGATCAGATGGCGCTAGCGGGGAGAGTACCGAGTACCCCACAATTTCAGGACACTTCTCACGTTTGCGACCACGAGTCCTAAAAATGATGACGTTGTTTGAGTGAAATAGCGGAGAGGGGCAGGGCGGGGACATTTGAAGAGGGTTGAAATGTGCATAAAATTGCTGTGTACAGCTGAAACGCAGGACCCCCAAACACACCCTCTTCCCGCCCAACAGGGCGACTGGAAACCACCACATGCACATGAGCCGCATCCGCGAAAGAATATTATCTGTAATTGTGAAAAAGGGATCGTAATACCTAGGTAGTGGATAGAACAAAAGCGAAAACGAGGGTATATGTCATACTCGTGAAGTCGGAAAGCCGCAGGTCCACCTACCCGGGAGAACGTTGCCTGACAATATCCACCATAGTCGCCGAAACAAGAGCCAATATCCAGCGCTCCACCCTACTGTTGTATGCCCGAATGGTCTCCTCCCTCATCGCGAGTATCTGCCGTAGCCACAGCAGTCACAGTATCTCAGTATCCCATCTCAAGACGCTCGCTCAGTTCGGCATCCCAGGCAGTTCAGTTTCCCATCGTATGAACAATCCCATCCTCCTCCACCGTCGCACTAAACTTGCTGCTCAGCACTTCGACCGTCTCGAGCACGGTGGCAGGGGCGTCGGCCGTGAATCCCTTGATGATGTTGTACTTGTGGATGATGGCGCCGCCCTGTAGATGGAGATCGATTCTGTCAGCTCTGTACATAAAAACCGGAAGCTAGCAAGAAAAGGTCAAACCCACCGCTTTGACAATGGCCTCCATGGCCTCATCCACCACGCTCTGCGGCGTCTCGTTCGGATAGCTGACAATCACCCTCTTGAGCGGCGGTGCGACTGCCATGGCGAAGGTAGCGAGGATAGCGACGAGGACCGAAAGCAGCTGGAGGGTGGGCATGCGCATCGTGTGCAGCGAAGAAGAGTGCTTGACGTGCGGAGGGCTTCTCTTATGTCAGGGTTGTAGGTGCGTGGCAGTGCAGCGGTAGTTGAGGTAGCTAATATAATGGCGTTTTTCGGCTTGCAGCCTAGGTACTGTAGTATTCGTGGAAGAGTCTCGCAGGTGTTCGAAGCAGGAAGGTGAATAAGAGGAGATTTTATTGATGATCAGAGCAGATGCCTGGCTGGCGGTGGAACGATAACTGGTCGCGCAATAACCGCAAGGGTTCTTGAATGAGGAAGGAGGCGTGAAGGGGCACGGGATTCGGCAACTGAGAGGGGGTTGGTCTGGAATCTGATGCCCAGGTGCAAGCGCGGGCGACGGCAGCTTTGTCCCACTGCGGAAGGTGGCGGGAGGGATCCGGTTCGCACCCCGGTTACCCTGCGTCAAGGTGCAGGAGGCGTGCAACGCTTGGCTGATAGCTATCCATAATGTAATGTACAATGGAAGCCTCCTTCAATTATATACAACACAATACAGCAATTACTGTGGTACATGTACCCTTGTGGACGTGGTCGAACGTTTCTCGCCAGATCACCAAAACAGGAGGGATTCAGGCGAACATATCGCCTTTTCATTGAGAAGCTACCTACACTACAGACGCAGTGCCAGAACCCTTTTTCAATCAGTGAAGCAATGTAAACGCTAAGCAACGTGTGTCAAAGTCAACCACCAGAAGCCCGTCCTGTTTGACACCACGTTGCTCGAGCGCGCAGTGGAAGAAAATTGCAGAAGAGGGAATAGTGCAGGCAATGACATGCAAACTTCGGTCATGAAGGGCGTGACAATACGCCACCCATGCCCATGAGAAGATAAGACAGCAGTAGAAGGGAAATCCAGTAAGGCAAGGGCAGAAGCAAAGCAGAAAAGGGGGAAAAAGAAAAAAAGAAAGGAGGCTCGGCATCGCCTGAAGCGCCGTTGCGGATGCGGATAACCCAAAGCTCCGATGGAATGCTTCTATGGGAACAGGGATCAGAGCGATCATGGAATAGTATACAAGATCGGCGACCATTGATGACCATGATGTTGACAGTAGATGGCACAAGTACCAATGGCGAGATCAAGACTGGACAAGGAATCGGTGCTGCATAAGACGCCGCCAAATACGAATCGTAGAAGTGGACACGTGAGAAGTCGATGCTAATGGGACAAATACAGCTGCGCAAGCGGCCGTGTCTCGTGAGGTCGTAACGTCGTTAGCGCTCGTCATGCAAATCCTCTCAGAAGAAGCTGCCGTGGCCGTTGGACTGGGCATAGCCGCCGTTGTAACCCTGATATCCCTGCTTCTGCACAGAGTTCTGCAGATGGTTTGGCAGCGGAGGATTGCTCATGCGATGCGGCTGTGGCGAGGCGATGTTGGAGTTGTAAGCGTTACCAGTGTACATGGGCGCACCCGGATAGCCACCCTGAGCTCCATTGTCACCAGCCTGCGCGACCGGCGGCGACGGACCCGGACCGCGGCCAGTGTAGGAACTGAGACGGGACTCACGCTCCTGGACCTTGCTCTGAATGCGACGGCCATATGGAGTCTGACGAATGGCTGGAAGGAGAGGGCGCATGCACTCGATCATCCGCAGCGATTGATCCGGCGGAGCGAACTCGAGCGCAGTCTGGATGACATAGTTGCCGTACGAGTCACGCATCAGCTTCTCAAGCTCCTCCTCTTGCATCAGCTCCTCAATCATGATGCGCTTGGTGTTCATGTCGGCACAGCGAATGCACTTCTCGATGACGTTGGAGCTGAACTTCTGCTTGGACAGCTCAGCCACCTTGCCGGCGAAACCGAGGCAGAGCGGGTTCGTAAAGCTATAGTCGTTCAGGTCAAGGATGTACTGCACGACGTAGTTGCCAAATGGATCCTGGACGAGGTCGAAGCTGTTGGCCGTGATCTGGCGGACAAGCTGAACCTTCTGGAAGCCCGAGGCGTGATCGATGCAGCGCTGAAGCACGCAGCAGCCGTGACGATGAGTGCCGACAGCGACACAGTTGGTGCCGACCGCATCAAAGATGAACTGCGCATCTTCGGCTTTGAGGTGGTTCAGGCATTTCTGGATGACGTGATTGCCGTTGAGATCCTGAATGAGCTCCACGACCTGGTTCTGGAAGGCCTCGATGATCATGCTGATCTGTTGTACTGTTAGTCGACGGCACATGGCGCTCTGTGCATGGACGGCTGACCTGCTTGGGGGTGGAGATGAACTCAATCATCTTCTGCAAAGCGCGGGTGCCGTGCTGGTTCAGAGCAATCTGGACGAGGGAGGTGGCCGCGTTGTGGACAAGCTTGTCGCGCTGCTCATCAGTGGCATATTCGAGCAACTTCTGGCACAAATAGTTTCCGAACGGATCTGGAGGGAAGCTTAGCATCGACGTAGCCATGCGGCGAGATACACATACCAGTCATCAGCTCAACGACGTGAGGAGCGGTCTCCTCGAAGATGATTTGAAGATACTCGTCATTGCGCTCTTCAAGCTTCTTTTGCAGGAAGCGACAACCGTGCTGGTCCTTGCAGAGAGAGTAGATCTCGGCGCGAGGCATGGTCTTGAGGTCATAGTTCATGAAGCGATTGGCGTCTGGATACCAGTTAGTGGTGTACGCATGCGGGACACGAGTTCGAATACCACTCTGCATGCGGCGGCTCTGAATAACACGAGCCTGACTGTCCTGAAGGCGCCCATTTGGACCATATGCAGTGTAAGGGTTGTTGTAGTACGGCATACCAGCCGGTACCTGAGGATAGGGACCGTTGGGATTGAACATGTGCTGGGATGCAACCGGCTGCCCCATAGAGAGGCCGTTCATGGCACCAGTCAGCATACCCATTCCGTAGCCATAGTAAGGTCCAGACACCCCAGAATAGTGAGAAGGCGTGGGGGTTCCGATGGTCTCGGCAATGGAGCCGGTAACGGATGGTGCGCTGGTGAGGGCAGGGCCAAAAGGAGCGGCACTAGCATGAAGGCCAGACTGAATAGGGCGACTGAAGTTGGCATCCTGCTCCTTGAATCCGTTCGAGAGCTCACGGCTGTGGCGGTTCGTGGCACCGTTGGTCGGGATGCGTCCAAGGCTCGCATTATGGTTGTGCAGGTGCTGCTCTGCATGGGTACGCGAGAGATTCACGCCATTGGTGCCATTGATGCCATTGATGCCATTCATGCCGTTCATGCCGTTCATGTTCTTCAAGGTGGGGACGTCATTGGTGGAATAGGATTGCTGGAACTTGGGCACGCTGCTGCCGTTGGGGCTGGCGTAGCTGGAGCGCTTGGAATCGGTGCCATAGGAGCCTAGACCGAACTCTTGCACTGAACGGCGGTTGTTGGGCGTGGACCTAGTAGGGGTGGTGTCACCGTTGGCGCGGCTGACATCGTACTCATCTACCTGGGAACCTTTGCGGAGCGTGTTAGTGGGAAGTGACTGCTGAGCGTGGTGATGACGGTAGGTAGGCCAGCCGTTGCTCTGACTATCCAGGCCATCCGACCTGGACAAGGCGAGATCCAAGGCAGCCGAAGAAGCAGAGAGCTCGCCCTCGCCACGACGGACAAGTATAGGGAACTTGTCATCGGTGGTGTTCATCTGAACGTACTTCTTGGCGTCGGGCGATGCGGCGGGGTTCCTCTCGTCCTTGTCTTCTTCACGTTCGAATAACCAGGAAGTGGTGTTGATGCCAACGGAAGACTCACGAATACGACTGTCGAGATTGACTGGCATGGACAAACGGTTGGTGCTTTGTGAAGACAGTCAGCGCACGCTCGAGACGCTTGGGGGGCGGAATGCGTGCGGGATAGACACGCGCGTAGCTTGTGTTACGCAGCAAAGCCAAGCAAATAAGACCCATTGAGTGAAAGGAAAAGTGGCGGTCTTACTTTCTGAACACCGGGCTAATTGGACCAAACTCCGCCTCGAACTTGTCGGCCTCTTCGTCTGAGCCGCGCCGCGAGCCAGGCACCGAGTGGGAGGGGACGAAGCTGCTGGTCTGGATGCCTGAGGGAGGCGAAGCGAGAATCGAGCCAGAACGGCTACCACGAGGGGTGGTGATGCCAGAAGGAACAGACGACATGCTGAAGCGGTTCGGGCGCGAGAGAGCAGTGGGGAAGCCGTTGCTGTCGCTATACTCTGGCGGGGTGGTGGGTTGGCTCTGGACCTTGTTCAAGTGGATGTCAGAAGACAGACGGCCGATCTCCTCCTCGTCCTGACGGAACTTTCTATCAAGAAGCTCCATTTCGGCCTCAAAACGCCTGCGTTGTGCTTTGAGGAGTTCGTACTCAAGCTTCTTCCTCTCGAGCTGACGAGCTGTCAGTCGGACAGTTCCACGGCCGAGCAGACGCAAAGCCGCAACCCCCGCAACCGAAGGGAGATATGTAGAATGACAACCAGAGACGTAGACTAGGCAGAACAGATGGCAAGGGACGGAAGAGAAGCTACTGCAGTACTCACAGAGAGACTGTTGTACAGAAGTAATCGTAACAAAGTTGGCAATTTACGATGGAGGCTGAGAGAAGAGGAAAGGAAGAGAGAAGGAGAGATTGGGGGCGAGAGAAGACTTTATAGGGAGAAGGCCTCCGTCTATTGACGTAGGCGGTGGGCAGCGGCAAACGGGAGGAAACTCGAAGTGAAGTTGACTTTTACTTACCACTTGCATCTTGTGGAGGGTCTGTGGTCAGAGGTCAGCCAAAGTCGACTTCACATTGACTTTTGAAACACGAGAGCGGGGACAACAACAACAACCGCAGCAGCAGCAGCAGCAATCAAACGCAGCAAACGCAGCAAACGCGGCAACAACCTGGCATCGGCGTATCGTCTGGCATGATTTGCGACGTATGCATCTCGCTCGTTGCATATTTTCCACATCCACACCTGGCCATTCCGAGTGCGCCCTTCTCTTAATATGCAGCTTGACAAAGGAAATATGAAGGGCTTACCGCAGTGGTGTATTCCTGCGGCTCGGCGGCCTGGCGGCGCTGCAAACCAATTGGAGAGAGGGGGGTATTCAAGGTAGGAACGGTATTCATTGTGAATCGTCTGGTCAGGATTCCGCGACCGTCGGTGGAGCCGGAGGGAAGTTGGGAGCCGACGGTTCGAAGAGGGCTCGTGAGGGGCCCAAAGGGAGACTCGTCGCGAGGGGATCTGAGGCCGGAGCGGTCTCCAATGCCGGTGGAGAAAGCCATTTTCCCTAGAAATACACTTCACAAGATTCGGGTCAGCAGACGTCGCCGGCGCTGGGACGGGAGGTGGGAGGCGGGGTGGGAAAGCAGGCGGTGAGGAGGGGAGAAGAGACGGGAGGGAGGCCGTGTGGTGAGGAGCGAAATGGACTCGGTCATCGAGTCTTTGGGATACTCACGATTATGGATACAAGGGGCGGGAAGCCCTCGGTGCCCTCGGTGGACTCGAGGAATCGTCAAAATGGCAGTGTTTTTGGAGTGTTGTCAGGACGAGAGTCGAGGTGCAACGAAGGCGGGCGCGGTTGGTCTGGGGCTTGGCCAGTCCGGGGCAACACCACACGGCGATCCGAGCGGGAATGCGGTAGGCGGGTGATGGGGGATGGGTGGTGCAGCGCCGGGTTGGGTCAGGTTGGTGTGTATGTATGGCTGTGTGTGTTTCGATTGGCAGAGAAAGGAGCGAGAAAAGGACAGACTGGAGGAAAGACAGAGTGAAGCGACAGCTGGATAGAGGGGGAGAGGTACACGAGAGACTAAGGGTAGTAGTAACAAGTAGTAGGTACAAGACGGGCCGAGAGGGGAGGGGAGGTGCAAGCGGGCGGGCGAAGTCTCTGGGCAGGCGAGACCCTGAACACCTGACTAGTCCCAAAAGGGACCGCCACCTCGACATTCACTGCAGGTGGGCAGAGACAGGACTGACTGAACAGAGACTTGGACTGACGCCTCCCCACAACAAGCGGTGCATATTATGATTATTACCATTGTTGATGCACACAGTAAGTAGGTATTCTTCTACAGCCTTTCTCCTGCAGCTCCTTCTTCATCCCGGTTTTCCTTTCATCCATCCCTTCATTCATTATCCAAAGTGGCACTAGTAGATGGACTCGAACGAACGGCCGGCCCCAGCGATTATTGATGCGCAGCGAACAAACTCCATGGCAGGACCAAGGGACCCGGCGGGGCAAGCCCACAGTGCCGATGCAACCCCTCGACGACGACAGTCCTGGTCTGATGCTACCTTCTAGTAGGTATGAGTGGAAAGGGGGCACTAGAATCAGTGAAAATGTTGGCCGTGAAGCTCTGCTCTTCGGTGACTGCAGCTTCTAGGTCCTTTTCCTCCGTCGGGATCCTCGCAGCATGCATTTATAGTACAATCGTAGTGACTCGCTGGCAGATGCCTATCCCCCAGGGGCTGTGCGGCGTAGCGGGGTCCAGACGGTCTTTTCTATTCACCCAACCTTGGATCCAACCCTTGCAAGGACAACCCTCTATCGTGGCTTTCAGCATCTCACCGCCTCTAACTCTTCCGCTCCGCCAAGTAGACTAGGCCGCGTTTCAGGACCAGAGCTGTCCCCGCATTTCGCCAGCAGTCCCAGTAGTGCAGCCGCCGGCCCTGGACTAGACGCCGCCTCCGCCTCATGACTGTCTACCCACCCCTCTTCAGAACCCCATCCATCAACGAGCTGCGACTCCCTGACAATTGCCTCTCCTGCAATAGGGTGGCCCTCCCCTTTCGCTCTATCATGGTACTTCTGGTGAATAGACTCACGGTTACCGGATGATATTGCTTTCATCCGTCCCTTATGTCGACCGGCATCCGCCATTCCCGCGCTCGCTTCGGCGGGAGCCCGTGGGCGTGTATGCAGCCTCCTCGTGCCAGCACATATACAGGACATATTGCATTTCGCCTCCAACCTTCGTGGCTCTGCGGATCCGTGCGACCAGACAAAGGGAGACCTGTTAGTTATCGTTGAAGGAATATGCCTTGGGAAATCACAGAGACACGCTGCCCCAGGTGCAGTTAGCAAGTGTCGTTTCACCGGACGCCGCAATGGGATGGCCCTCGGCCCTCCAAGCTTCGCCTGGATACCTATGTTGTACCGGGACCCTATTTGGATTGCTAAGCAGGACTACCCATAGACTTGGAATTCGCACCGGTCTCGCTCCAACGTCCACATTATTTCCTTCAGAAGCGCTTACTGTATTTGCACAGCTCGAGGATGTTGATGACATCAGTTCATTGGCTCTTCTGTGTGACATGATAGCACCTCAATCGCAGCTTCCTCCATCCATCCCTTCCCGCATGACTAATCACTGCCGCAGTGGTCTTCCCCAGCGCCCACCCCTCCTATGCCTCGAAATTCCCACCGTTGCAGCAACGCTTCTTCTCTCCACGCTCCTCGGCGGCAGGCTCGCAAAGCTGGTAGCGTACTCGGCCACCGCCGCCGCAATTGCCTTGGTATGCAACACAAACGCAGTGGCATTCAGGTTGTCGACTGTGTCTCCAGCACTGTGGTAGTTGGCATCCAGAGCCACGTTGGCGTGGCCACCAAACATCTCCGCCTCTTCCGTTGTCTTGAGCTTTTCGGCTCCAGTGAAGGTTCCTCCGGCGGGAATCCCCGCGTCGATGAAGCCAAGATAGTCGGAGCGGCCATCGAACTCTGTGGCAGTAAAGTTCTGCCCATGGCTCGTGAAGAAGTCCTGGAAGAACTTCTCAATCTCCGCCGACCCCGCCGGTCCCGTCAGGTTGAAGGCGGACCCATCCCCGTCGTAGATGGCATGCACGTAGTTGGGCGAGGCGATCATATCGAAGTTGAGGTACGCTCGGATGTTCCCCCTCTCCGCCGCAGATAGGTGCTCGACGTAGTAGGTCGAGCCCAGCAGGCCCGATTCTTCACCACTCCAGAAGCCAAAGCGCACGGCGTTGTTGGCCTTGTACTTGGCAAGCTGTTTGGCCACCTCGAGGATCCCAATGGTGCCACTGCCGTCATCATTGATCCCAGGACCGGCTGCAACCGAGTCGGTGTGGGCGCCCAACATCAGCGTCGTGTTATGAGCGCCACAGTTGGATGTTGCAATCACGTTCTCCGTCGTCTGGAGCTCGATCACCGTGCGGACATTCAGAGACGCCGTCACGGTAGTGCCATTGCCAAGGGTAGCCACGAGCTCACGACCCTTCTCCTGGCTGATTCCCAATGTAGGGATATAATCACCTTCTGGGCGGGGTGGCGTGCCCAGCGTGCCCGCGAGACCTCCTGGAATATTGTTATAGATCAGAGCGCCGACGGCTCCAGCAGCTCCTGCGAGGGCAGACTTCAACCCGAATTCACAGCTACCACGCGAAATAAGCGCAATCTTGCCCGGCAGGGCGGCCGGGTAGTCTGACTGCATGCGGTCAGCTGCGGAAATCCCGAGAGCATTGCTCCAGAAATGAACTGACCGGACTGCAACCCAAGTTGTTGACGACCACGAGACTGCTGGTTACATTTCCGGAAGGACTGTACTCCATCATACCCCACTCCGTCTCCGCGCCGCCAATGGTGAGTGTCGCAGTGCCATTGGTCTGAATGAGATTGGTGAACTTTTGCTTTTCGACCGTATAGTACCCGCCGAGAGCCTCCAGTTCCTTGACTAGGAATTTGACCGTGTCATTGTGGCCATTGCTCCCCATGACCCGGTTGCGCTCCGGATAGCTATAAGCTATGTCCTGGAGAGTTTGGGACCCTTTGAGGAGGGCTTTTTCCTTGATGGAGTCCTGCAACTTCTTCTGTCATGATGATAAGCAACTGGAACACAGCAAGTCATGGAACCACGCTTACAGAGTCGACAAGCGGCTTGTGACTACAGCTGCCACCATGCGGATTCCCATACCCATACCCATGCTGTCGAGGCACAATAACCGATGCTGAAGCGGCAGCAGCAACGGCGCCGAGGATGGCAATTGATGTCTTCATCCTGCAGAACTCACAATACAGAGACGAAGCTACAATGGAATGACGCTCGGCTCGTGCGGGAAGACTTAAGTACCCACGAGGAGTCACGGCATTTATATCACAAGCACCCGCACAGAGCGCTAAGCAACTCGCCCCCAGGAATCAAGCAATGCGGATCTCGTACCCTTTGCAGCTCTGTCGGCCGTGCAAGCCCGTAACCTGCAACCTCAGCGATCCATATGCATGACGGCAGATCCGAGGCATTTCTCCGATAACCAGGAACTCCTTTTCTGCTGCGAGGGAGTCGGGACGTGCACCACGGCAGGGGAGGCTGCAATATGCATGCGGTGGTTGTGTGTGCTTCCCTCATATTGTACAGCGTTAGTGATTGGGGCATTTTAGCCTGTGGAAAGGGTAATGTTGCCGAGTAGTGGTACCCGGTCGATCGCGGACGATAACACATTCAGAAGGTCCAGCAAAAGATATCATTGTACACGATCTTTAGCAACCGGTGTGGCGGCTGGTGGCGCTGCTCGGCGTTTGCAATCGGCCGTCGAGGACGGACCGTTGAGGGAAGCTTGGTGATGCAGGCAAGCCGCAGCGGAGATGGTGATCACCACGGCCGTTGGCACCTCCTGCGAAGGGTTTAGCGAGAGGGATACTCTACCGCATTAGCATGGCCGGTTCGAGATCCTTGGACCAATGGGGCTTTGGGGTTGGATATAATGGCCAGGAAGGAGATATTGTATACGAAGAGGAGGCGAAAATGATGACTGAGGAAGTTGTAGGATTTGGAGGAGGGATCGCGCAATAGCGAGGGTTTCTCCTATTGGACATTGGGAATAGTGAGGAAGAATGGGTATATTGACGTTCTATGGGGAGATAAGCAGAACACGGATATGAGATGGTAAGTGCGCTGTGTGTTACTCGAATGTGAATGACAGCTCCTGCAGTGCCTCGACGTATGCCTCCGTCCGAGTCGTCTTTGGTAATGTTTAAGTGACGAGTTGAGATGACATGTCGGCCCACAACACCGTTACAAGACTTTGGCTGCACAAGTCGACATCGAAGAGGGTCTCATCATTTTTCTCTTTTATCTACCAGCTCAATCGTGCTTACTTGAGCCCGTTCACGCCCGCCTGCAACTCCAATACCCCAACACCATCTGCGTATACTGTATGGCCACCTCCAGCCTTTCTCCGCACTATTCGACAAACTCGATTCTAGTCCTTCCAAGACGGATGAGCATTTGCATGCTGCGCCAGGAATAAATAGAGACGGATTAGTTGGTAGGCCTTCAAAACCTCCTCTTCCCATTTCCGTCTCTCCCCACCCTTCCTTCCCTTCTCCATCACTTTTCCCAATCTCACTCCTTCTCAAAAACAATCCGATTCCCCAACGCCCCAACCCCCTCGACACTCACCTCGACCTCATCCCCATCCCTCAGGAAACCCTGAGGACTCATAAACAACCCGACCCCGCTCGGCGTCCCCGTCATAACGACCGTACCCCTCCTCACCGTCGTGCCCCTCGTAACATGCTCCACAATCTGCCCAATGCTCCAAATCATATCATCCGTCGACGTCGCTTGCCGCCGCTCGCCATTCACCCTCGTCTCGAGCCTTACGGCCTGCGGATCGCGCACGAGATGCGGCGCCACGACCGCAGGCCCAATGGGCGCGAAACCATCGAAACTCTTCGCGTAGCCGAATTGGCCCCCCGAGACGCTGGCGGGGAGCTGGAAGTTGCGCGCGGAGACGTCGTTGCCGGCTGTGTAGCCGAGGATGTAGGATTGGAAGGCCGAGGCGGGCACGTTTTTGGCGTCGCGGGCGAAGATGAAGGTTAGTTCGCCTTCGTAGTCGAGTTGGGACGTGCAGGATGGGTGGATGGGGATTGGCGTGAGGGGGCCGGTGAGGGCGTCGGGGGGTTTGGTGAAGATTGTTGGGTAGGTGGGTATGGTTAGCTGGGGGGTGTTAGTAGGGGTGGTGTTAGTGGAGTGTGGGTGGATCTGAGTTGGATATTGGGAGTTGGACGAAAGGGGGTGGGAGGAAAGGGAGGAGGGGTGAGAGGGAAGGAGGGACGTACATTGCATTCTTCGGCGTGTTTGCGGTAGTTGAGACCTACGCAGAGGATGATGGGGGTGCGCTCGAGGGGGCAGAGGAGCTGGGGGATGGTGGTCAGCGGTTTTGTTTTCCGAAAAAGGAGTACTCAAAGTGTAGTTTGGCTTCCCGTTCTTCAATGGCGCCTCTTTTCAGGAAATATGGGAACAATAGAGCACTGTCCCCTTTTCCTTTGCGCATCCTTTCTCTTCCTCCTCTTCTCCCTCTCTTCTTCTTCTTCTTCCTCACCAGAGAATATCACCCCCTCAACCCAAAAACTCTCTCAATCCCTCCCTTATGCAAATATAACTTAACAAAACAAAACAAAACAAGAACAAAACACAAAACACAAAACTCACCTCCCCAACCGTCCTCCTGCCCCCATCCCCCGCCCTCCTCCACCCCCTCTCAATATCCCCCTCCAGCACATCCACCTCCTTCCCTACGATCTGCCTCGCAGGCAAGACCGCATCGCCCAGGTCGCCGTAGTACGTTTCCCCGTCCTCGACGGCTTTGAAACGGATGAGGCGGTCGAATTGGTGTTGTGCGGGCGCTGCTGTTGAAGTCATAGTGGACGATTTTACTGTATGCGCCGGGGATCGGCGGGGGCGGGATTTGATGAAGGGAGGAGAAGGAGCTGTGATGCCTAAGAATTGGGGTGGGGTGCAGGTGTGCAGGGAGAAGAGGAGGGAAGGGTGGTGAGCGAGGGTTTATCAGTCTTTTTTTGAGTGGGAACGAGTGGGAGAGGTGTTATGGAGGAAGGAGGTTTGTTATGGGGACGGCGACATCTTTAAAGTTTAAGCACACGAACGCAGCGGAGCGAAAAAGCGGGAACTATTTTATGGATCAGATGGCCCCACGCGGCTCGTTCGTTTGGTGGGAGAGATGGTGGGGTCTTCTTGGAACGGAATTTGTGGATTGCGGACTACTATCTCTTCTTCGGGATTGCATCGTACCGAGGTGTTGCGGCCCGCAGGCGGGAGCTTGGGGAGCCTTTGGGGAGCCTGGGGAGCTTGGGGAGCACGGGGAGCTTGGGGCTCAAGGCTGGAGACTTGTCGATGAGAAATGGATGCTTCTTGAGTCTTGTCCCTGATCTATGGACATGGCTAGTGCGCCGGGAAGCTTTTGATACTAAACAGCTCCGTCAAGGCAGTGATATCTATATCCACCGAGCAAAGTTAAACGGCACCCTCATCATGCGAAACGATGTTACTGTCCTCCTTACCGATACAGGTGCCAAAGAGCATCCATTGTGTTATAACTATATCAAAAAGGCTCTTTCAAGGACGTTTATCGTCTGGGTATATCTAACTTTCTCACTCTCTCCTCCTCGCTCACCCCGCCCCAGGCTCATGGCTCAAACATCCAGGACAATTATGCAGCACCATGTGACAAAACATGTCGCAATCGATGCAGAAATGGCTCTCGCAAACCCGACACTCATACCTCGAGCTCTCGCTCGCCCTCTGCTCTTCCGACTCCTCCTCATCTTCCGGAGCTTGCTTCTTCCCACCACCCCCCACAGGCCCATCCACAGCCATCTCATCATCACCTCCCCCTCCACCCCGAGCACCTGCTTCCGGGTCCTCAGGCGGCGGCTTCGGAAACACAGCCAAACACCCAACACACTCCACACTCCCCTTCTCCCTCGCCCGCCGCCAACTCACCTCTGCCCAATTCCGCAGCGGAAACAAGTGGTGATAGCTTCTCGCCAGATGCGTTGACAGCAGCAGCGTCAACTGGCAACTGGGACACGTAACGGGGAGACTGCACACCTTGGCCGCGCACCGCGGACACGTGTAACCCCCCGACGTCAACACGCCGTGGCATGCACACAGGGTAGGCACGTCTTGGACGACGCGCGACGGGAACCCCATCATCATGAGCGCGGCCGTGGATTCCGCCGACGCCGCGGACCGGTCCTTCCGCACGACGGGCGGCGTCGTCGTCGCGAGGAGCAACTCGCGCAGCAGTTCCTGGTCGGTGGCTACGACGTACTCGCTCTCGTCGCCCGCGTTGGTCCGCGAGACAATCTCCTGGCATATGCGGAGGCGGGCGCTCATGCCGATGATGCTGACGCGGATGCGGTCTCGCACGCAGGCTTTGATGGTTTGGTGGATGTCGCCCGGGTCGAGGGAAAGGAGGGAGCCGAACACGATGATGACTTCTCGCGTCCCGTGGCTGGGGGTGTGGTAGAGTGTCGCTCTGGCCAGCTCCAGGGCGTTTTGCAAACTCGGCGACCCCTTGGGTTCTTTGGGGATATCCTTTGGGTTGCGGGGGAAGCGCAGGCCTTGGATGGCGGCGATGTGGTCGGCCGGGTTGCCCGAGAGTTCCGACACGCGGATGCAGAGGCCGTCGTGCATGCCTAGCACGCTCATTTGGGAGATGGGGTTTTGCTCGAAGAACTCGCGCACGTATTCTTGCGTGTATTTTATCATGGTGATGTACCGGTTGGGCCGCATGTCTTTCTCTAGCATGGCTTCGGAGAGGTCGAGGACGAGGACGACGTGCCGGATGATGCCTCGCTGGAAGGGTTTGGTGTCTTTGCGTAGTCTGGGTAAATGCCAGTCAACCTCCGCATCTCTAGATATCATGACCAAAGGGAAGGGTGCAGCCAAACTCACCTCTTCCGCTTCCTCTCCTCCTCCTTCTCCTGCACACTCTGCCGTATACTCTCCTCTCCCAGGTCCAAGTCCCCGTCCAGCTCCAGATCATACTCGATAGATGCCTCGCTCCCACGCCGCTCCCACGCCAACGTCGCCTTTCCCTTCTCCTTCTCTTGGGTCTTCCGCTTCCCTAGTCCCACTGCGCCGCTCGCCCGTGAGCTCCTACCGCTGGCCGCCTTGGAGCCGATATATTCGTCGTCGGAGGCGTCTTCTTCGAAGTCATAGTCCGAGTCGGCCATGGCGGAATGATTGGAGGTAGCGGACGTGATGGTCCAGGAATCCTAAAGGGGTGAGTCCGATTGGAAGTCTTGCACTTGTGGGAGTAGTCTAGCGGAAATGATTGGAATGGCTAGCGGTCTTGGATCGAAATAAGTCTACAGTATATTCCACAGGGGTCGGATTAGGCCAGTGGTTTGCGAGCGTGGGTGTTGGCGGGAGGGTCGTTGAAGGGAAAGCCAGTCAATAGTGCTCTCTAGACGTAGAGCTGCGCTGATATCATGCCCTTCTGAAGGTCCATCGGCTTCTTCCTGGCGGTTGATTGGCCGTTGATAATCTGAAGTTGCAAGCTCTTCGGAAGTCCGACAGCGCTCTCTATCGATAAGCGTGGTCTCACGTGACGTTGATTCCGCCAGCTTGGCACCATGTTCAAACAAAGTAGGTAGACAGTTACGGAATATGCTCTCATGTGGATTCATGTTTGACCATCACGACTAGATTGAAGCCAATCCTGATAGGGTATATATATATTATGCATTGTGACGTGTACTATCTCCTTGTATCGTATCAACCATTCAAACCATTCAGACGCTCCAAGGTGGTATACGCTACAGATATGCTGCAAAAAAGAGACATAAAACACATTAGCACCTCATTACAGCTCTTCATATCCAAACAGATCGTTTCCACAGCTTTTTGCTTCTAATAGCCAGTTCCGGCGACGCCGGGCATCGGCCAGTCATCTTCGGTGATGCTCGACCAGAAGACCCAAGTCATTACGACTGAGAGCAAGGTAAATAACGTCTCGAAAAGACCGCCGTTGATCTTTCCGTTGGTGCCATTGCAAATGTGCACGCTGATGACGTATTGGAAGATTTGACCAATGGCGAAAAGCAGAGCGGCGGCGACCAGGTACACTATGCTTGTCAGCATGGAGATGGTTGAAGATGACAGGGAAGTGCTTACTCAGTGGTTTCCGCTCTCCTAGAATCCGAATGACCAAAAATGCTTCCAGAAGGAAAAAGACAACGAGGAAGACAAGTGGTACGAGCTGATACAATGTGTAGAGGGCGTAGGCTCGGTTATTGCCAGTCAAAGTCGAGTCCCAGTAGCCGGTGAAACTGAAGCCAGTGTCGAGCGCGATGTAGCCGGTCCCAATGAAGAAGATTGCCGCGGAAGTGATCATCAAGCCAAGGGATAAGGGCGTGCCGTCATCGAGCAGCTGGTAGCCGACGATACCATTGAGCATGAGTATCCAGAGTGTGGACACAATGGCAGCGATATGGGCAGCTGTGAAGCCTCTACGCACGGCGCTGTTAAGCGGGAAGCCTCCAATGGTAAATATTTCGCATATTTCAACGATGACATAACCGAGGAGGAATAGTTGCATTTCCCTGCTCATGGTCAGTAAACATCGAAGCAAGAACACGTTTGCGACCATTGGCGCACCTCCTTCCGACAGCAGCTTTTTTCCTTTCTGATCTCCATAGTAGGAACCCAGTGACAGCGATTGCAATTCCAGCGAGCAAAATAGAGCCTACACGGTCAGCCAAGGAATTCGAAGGGAGGCATGAGTGGAATCACGAACCCAAATTGGCGAGATGTCTTCCACCACTTAACGGTATTCCAGTCAAATCGCAACCGCCCCATCCTGTTCCTGCGCGTGTGAGGGCTTGATCGAAGAGCTGTATGAGGTCGTAGTTAGCGACTGCGGCACAGAATCGGTGACTTAGGACATACATTGCACACTGCGGCCGAGTTAGCTAGTTGTCAACAATTGCAGCGGTTCGTGCCATACCTGGTAGCGTGGACCAGCGATTTCCTGTGTCGCGACAGAAGTCGTGGAAGTTGCCGTACTTGGACATGGCTGGAGGTGCCGCGGTTGCGGTGGGCGCGTAGCCTCGTCGGGCGGTGTGCTCAGTATTCCCCGGTGAAGAGACAGTTCCGTGGTTTAGGAAGGATGCGCAGGAAGGGGAGCGAATGCGGCGATGGTGGAGGAGGCGGCGGCGGATGGAGATGTCAAAAGAGAGGCGGTCGAAGGCAGTGGTTGCTGGGTCTACGGAGTACGGTGGCTGGGTGCGGCCTTGGAAGCACAACGGGGCTGTCAAGCTGGGGCAACAAGTCGCTTGCCCGGGGCCAAGACGATGTCACGATGTCACTGGGCACCGCAGCGCAGCGGAGTCAGTCTGTGGACTGGAGAATAATGGTGTCGCGCACGCGTTGAAGGATGACTGTCAAGGAATGAAGGAAGGAAGAACGTCGGAAGATTGCTGGCGACAATGCGCAGTGCGCGATGCGAGATGAAAGAAGGGCAGCTGGCTGCCAAACAGGGCTGGCGGGCGAATCAGACGTCGCCCGCAAATGTGAAACGCCAAGTTCACCTATTTTGGGCCATGCACCGCTTCCAAGGTTCCATGCTTCAACCCCAGATGCCAACCACGAATTGGAGGAAGATGTTGGTCGCAGGGTGAATGTCTTTGTCACATGACTTCTACTGGAACTGGAACTTCACGCACATCCCAAGCGGTGCTGGCTTGCATAGAAACCGTCTGTCCTGGTGAGTCGTCCTTGTTTAGCAATAATGGCAGGCGGCCGTTTCGCGGATGGTGTCGTGCGCCGGCTCTCAGGAACGTTTGCCTCAGGTCGGGCCGACATTTCTCCGCTCTACTCCAACTCCCCTCCGAGCGTCTCTCCTGTGCCAAGAAAGCTGAGCGACACATGCGATCGCTGCGAGTGGGCATGCTCGACGTCCACCTGCCAATATCTCCACTGTTTTTGAACCCGTCTCTTCTCTGACATGCTTGTCAGGTGCTCGCCGTTCCTCCGGCTCTTCCGCTCGTGATTCACCGTTCCCCCGTGACGCATCCACCTCGCGCTGTCCCTAGTCGCTCTCCCAGCACCTATCGCTCACAAGGACTGCTGTCACCAGCGGTCCTTTTCACCTTCGTCAAAGTGCCTACATACAACTCCCGGCGTCCGGCGAACATCCCATTACATACCCTCGGTTCATCGGCTCGCCAGCACGACCCCGACTCCGCTCATCTCCTCGACGGCTACGATAGACGCAGTGAACGCAGCAGCCGCGACTCTTTTGATACCCCCTCCGCCGATTCAGACTTCTCCATCTGGAGTGACACCGGCGATCTCGTCGACCAGCTAGGCGATCGTGAAGACCCTCTTAGCATTCGTCTGCGGGAGTCTATAGAAGGCACCAGGAGCTCAAATCACGGCCGTCCGCAAAAGCGTGTACGGTATCAAGACGACGGGGAACCAGCGGAGAAGCCCAGGTCTCTCCGAAAGGAGGACATTGAGATACCTGATCCAGGACCCCGTGTTATCTCCAGGGCTGAGAGGCTGCTCGCCGCAATCATGTCACCTCGCGATGGCCCTTCCCGAATGCACGGGCTGCATGGGAAGAAATTGATGTAAGGCTGCAGGCCCTAGTCCAGTTGCTTGCACCCTGGCTAATGCTTTGTGCAGCTACTTCACCACTGTATTTGTATCATTAGGCGTGTTTCTGTTTGGCTATGATCAGGGAGTTATGTCTGGTATCATCACGTGCGTCTCACCCTGACTTCACCGCGGTATCGGTGGAACTGACATCAATGTAGCGGAAACTATTTCAAAAACTACTTTAATCAGCCCTCTCCTGCCGAGTTGGGTACCATGGTCGCCATTCTAGAAGTGGGCGCCTTCATTTCCTCGTTAGCTGTGGGGAAAATCGGCGATATTCTAGGCCGGCGCAGAACCATCCTCTATGGAGCTATCATCTTCGTCATTGGTGGGGCGCTGCAAACTTTCGCGACCGGAATGCTCATGATGCTTCTGGGGAGAATCACTGCAGGTGTGGGCGTTGGCGTCCTCTCCACCATCGTGCCCGTCTACCAGTCCGAGATCTCTCCCCCTCATAACCGAGGAAAGCTCGCATGCATAGAATTCAGCGGCAACATCCTTGGCTATGCTGCCAGTGTTTGGGTGGACTATGGCTGCAGCTACATCAAGAGCGACTGGGCATGGCGGGTACCCCTCGGGATGCAATGCATCATGGGTGCTTTCCTTGCCGCCGGCAGCTTGCTCATCTGCGAGTCTCCTAGGTTCGTTCTAGAAAATATCGCATTGCGCAGTGCTTACAATCCTTAGATGGCTCTTGGACAACGACCATGACGAGGAAGGTATCGTCGTTATTGCCAACCTCTACGGCAAGGGAGATATCCATAATCCCAAGGCTCGGGATGAATATCGAGAGATCAAGATGAACGTACTGCTCCAAAGGCAGGAAGGAGAACGATCATATTCCGACATGTTCAAGCGGTACTCTAAACGAGTCTTCATTGCCATGTCCGCTCAGGCGCTTGCTCAACTCAACGGCATCAACGTCATCTCCTACTACGCGCCCCTTGTCTTCGAAGAGGCCGGATGGTACGGCCGCGACGCTATTCTCATGACGGGCATCAATGCCATATCTTACCTCGCGTCTACGATTCCCCCTTGGTATGTCGTGGATACCCTTGGCCGAAGGAAGATCCTGCTGTCTGGAGCCGTCGCCATGGTCATATCTCTCTCAGCCATCTCGTACTTTATGGTTTTGCAAGCAAAGTGGACACCTAGAATGGTTGTCATTTTCGTCATGATTTACAATGCCGCGTTTGGTGCATCCTGGGGCCCGATCCCCTGGCTGTATCCGCCTGAGATTCTTCCGCTCAGCATTCGCGCTAAAGGCGCGAGTCTGAGCACTGCAACGAACTGGGCCTTCAACTGGCTCGTCGGCGAAATGACTCCTATTCTGCAAGACTTGATCAAGTGGCGCCTCTATTTGGTTCACGCCTTCTTCTGTGCCATCAGTTTCGTCATCGGTGAGTACTCTCATCATTGTTTTTGGCGTACCTCTAATCGATTCAGTGTATTTTGTCTATCCCGAGACGGCAAATGTTCGTCTTGAAGATATGAACTCGATTTTTGGAGACGCCACTTCCGTTGCTCCTACCCCGCAAACTCTGGCGGAGGCAGAATCTCTCTTTAGTGGCAACCGGTCGCCTGTTCCGTCGCTTGACATACGGGGAGGGCGTCAACCTTCTGAAAGCGCTATTCCTGGTATCAACATCAACACACCTGAGCTGGACGGCTCAGCCTCACTTTCGAAGGCAGAGGGAGAAGGCGGAGAAGGTGTCGGTGGATGGATCTCCAATATGGTGAAGAGGAATAGGGGTAATGGAGAAGGTGACAGTTCGAGCGGCAGATATCAGAGAGTCGGCCAGGATGATCGATGAGGCGCAGCATATTCTTCACGCATCGCAAATCCGTTACATTCTGCTAATGTTCGCATCCCGGCGTGGGTGAATCGTTCGGGCATGCCACGATATCCTGAGGTTCCTTGGCGTCCTGGATTGGATATAGTTATAGAAGACGTAGACCACAACACCATCCATCCCTAGATAAATAGAGCGTCATAGTCCTGCTCACTCAATGTCGCGATGGTAACACCAGTCTTGTTCCTCAGCTCAATAATGCTCGTATCAGCGCACGTGGATGACGGCCAGGTGTCCCTTCAGCTCCAGGGCTACAAAGCTGACCCAAAGGGGCTTAGCGCACTTGCTTCACGCCTCCTTGCTCACCAGGTCCGACTTCCGTAGTTAATTTCTCCCCGCCGCGAGGTGTGCATCGCTCTTCGACACTCCACCGACTGCAGGCACACTGTTCCATCCCGTTTCGACCTCTTCGACGCTCAATGACGCGGCCTTCTCGCGTGTTGTAGCTCCTTTGCTTGTTCCCTTCATCTCCAAGCGCTGCGGCAGTGCTCCCCGGGCCACCAGTACTCAGCCCCCAGCAGCGATTTCTCCCTAGACTCAATATTCCCTTCTTCCTCGGTTTCTGAGCATCCTCGTCCTTCATCGATAAAGTTATTGGAGGTGGAGTCGCAGCATGGCGGCTCGAGGACACACCACCGCGGCCCATGACTCCGCAGAAGAGCTGCGGAGGAGAAATGTGTCAACACAATCCACCACACCAGCTGTCGCACAGGCTCCGGTTGCTGAGAAAAGCAAAGAGAAGGTCAGTTGAGAGCTAATTCTGCTGCTTTCGTCTCTTTGGTAGCTTGCGCTCATCAAGCTCGTAGCCTTTCGACATCATCACGTTCCTCGACGAATCCGAATGGATCTGGGCTCCTCTAATCTTCACGGCATTAGCTTTCTTCACCCGGATGTGGAAGATTGGATTGTCGCCAATAGTAACCTGGGATGAGGCACAGTAGGTCAACTGCGGAACCATCTTCTATGCGGCATCTCTGACAAGTCCAATAGCTTTGGCAAATTTGGCTCGCATTACCTCAAGCGCGAATTCTACTTCGATGTCCACCCTCCGCTGGGTAAAATGCTCGTCGGACTCTCTGGATACCTCGCAGGTTATAACGGCTCGTTCGAATTCAAGTCCGGCGAGACTTATCCCCCGGAGCTCAACTATACCTTTATGCGCTTGTTCAATTCAGCATTTGGTGCGGTCTGCGTTCCTTTGGCATACTATACAGCAAAGGCATTGAACTTCCGGAGACCAACTGTTTGGCTTGTTACGCTCATGGTCCTTTTCGAAAATTCCTACACTACGATCAGCCGGTTTATCCTGCTCGACTCCATGCTGCTCTGCTTCACCTTTACAACTGTGCTGTGCTGGGCAAAGTTCCACCGTCTCCAGCATGATCCTTTCTCTCCCGAATGGGGTTTCTGGCTGATGATGACCGGCGTGTCCATTGGCTGCGTATGTAGCGTGAAGTGGGTCGGCTTCTTCTGCACCGCCCTGGTAGGCTTGTACACCATCGAGGATCTGTGGCGCAAGTTCGGTGACTTGAAGATGCCGAAGGTAAGAGGAGTCCCGCTGTAGAGTCTCATAGGTTAACCAGCGTAGGTTGAGCTTGCTACCCACTTTGCTTTCCGCGTTTTCGCCCTGATTCTCATCCCTATCGCTGTCTACATGTTTTCGTTTTTCCTACACTTTTTGATCCTGGAGAACAGTGGCCCTGGCGACGCCCAGATGAGCTCTCTTTTCCAGGCCAACCTACGAGGCACCAACGTCGGCAAGGATAGTCCGCTTGAGATTGCCTATGGCTCACGCGCGACCATTAAGAATATGGGCTACGGTGGTGGATTGCTGCATTCCCATCACCAAACTTATCCCGAGGGCTCTACGCAGCAGCAGGTTACCTGTTATCACCATAAGGACGCTAACAATGACTGGTTTTTCTACCCCAATCGCGGAGATGCGGAATACAAGCCGGACGAAGAGCCCCGCTTCCCGGGCAATGGCGACACAATTCGTTTGATCCATGCGCAGACAGGCCGCAACTTGCACTCCCATCAAGTCGCTGCTCCCATCACCAAGTCTGATTGGGAAGTATCTTGCTATGGCAACGTGACCGTCGGCGACACCAAGGACCACTGGATTGTCGAAGTTGTCCGTGATGCGGCTTCGAGAGACAGGTCCAGAATCAGGACTCTTACCACTGCGTTCAGGTTAAGACATGCCGATCTCGGCTGCTACCTACGCGCGGGAAATACCAACCTTCCTCAATGGGGTTTCAAGCAGATTGAGGTTACTTGCGTAAAAGAGAACAAGCCACGCGATGTCTACACGCACTGGAATGTGGAGAGCCATTGGAACGACAAACGTGGGTTTCCTTTCATATCTTTTCAGGGAGTCAATTAACAAGGCACAGTTCCTCCCGGCGATCCGGGCTCGTACAAGTCTCCCTTCTTCCAGGATTTCATCCATCTCAACGTCGCTATGATGACCTCAAATAATGCTCTTGTCCCTGACCCTGACAAGCAAGACGACCTGGCTTCGAAATTCTGGCAATGGCCCATTCTCCATGTTGGTCTGCGGATGTGCAGCTGGGATGATAAGAGTATGTATATTGCATTTTACATATGCTTTGCCACATGCTGACCCTGCCCCAGTCGTCAAATACTTCCTTCTGGGTAACCCAATCGTGTACTGGGGCAGCACCGTCAGCCTGGGCGTCTTTGTGTTGATCGTTGCCTGGTACGTTGTTCGCTGGCAACGTGGTTACGAAGACTTGAAGCCTGCCGAGATCGACCAAATCCATTATGCAGGCGTTTATCCCGTCATCGGCTGGGTCCTGCATTATCTTCCTTTCATCGCCATGGGCCGCGTCACCTACGTCCACCACTACTATCCCGCGCTATACTTCGCCATCCTTACCTTGGGCTTCTGCCTAGACTGGGGAACGCGCAAGCTCAACAAGCAGGTCAATTGGATGCTATTCGGCGCCTTGTATGTGATCACCATTGGGCTCTTCTGGCTGTTTAGGGCGATTTGCTTCGGTATGGTGGGCCCCAGCTCGCAGTGGAAACACTTGAAGTGGTTCAGCACGTGGCGCATCACGGATTGAGGGGTCGTTGATTCGAAAGATTGGTGAAGTTCCTTTGTTTTGATTGCGGAGTCCAGATGCGGACATCGGGTGATGCACGGAGGCTTCAGCGATGTGCATCTGCTCGGTAGAAGAGGAGGTAATCCTCCGTCTGGAGAGCTGCGATGTATGAGGAGGCAGCCCTACGAGTGTGGCAGATTACGAAGAGGTGCCCGCGTGCAACTCTTTAGAAAAGAAAGATTAGGCGGGTTTGCGGTCTCTTGGGCACGGAGCATGGGCGTGGCGTGGACTCGGTGGTTGGATTGGGTATGCTTACTTTGAAGTATCCTATGTACAACATGCATTCTTCCCTTTTTTTTTCTTACCTGCTGTTGTATCTTCTCCCCTCCTCGCATCTTCTCCTTTGAGCTTCATGAACGCGTGGATGGGTTGGGAGGTTTAGAGGTGAGGTGTTGGTTGCGGGTGTTGCTTGGTGAGGTTAATCGGAGAAGAGGCTGCAAAAAGTGATGCGTACCTCTGCACTCTTTCTTGTTTGTGAAGTGAGGTTGTTCGTGCTTCATATGTTATCCATTTGTTGGGCTTTTGAGAGGGGGGAGAGTGCTGGTCTTGAGAGGGGAGGGAACAGTACTGCTCCTGGAAGTTGGAATGTACTTACTAATAACAATCTGAGATTTGTATCTTTGAATATAGATACAGCTCGTAGTATACTTTCTCTGCAGCTGCACTTACAATAGTAGTAGAATGTAGACTCCTCGAAGATTGGGTTTCTGATGATGGTTTGTCTATCTGTTTATTGGAAGGACTTAAATGGATTTGAGTTTCTGGTTGGCGTTACATGTACTTGCGCACGTTGTGGTCGTGGGATGTAGTACTGACTCTAGCAAAATTGGCCTGTTGCATCGATGCTTATTACATGTTGATATTATTATTTCATAGTCTCATACCTCGTCCTGTGGCCTAGAAATTGCCCGAGGCCAACGCTCGCTCATGCCGGGGCCTCATCCTCAAGTCTCCTGGTATATTCATCAGAAGCGCTCACCACCCATCCATCTCCTTCCCTCCCTAAATCTCTTCCTCATCCCCACTCCCCTCCAACCCCAACACCCCCCAATCACCTACCTCGCACCGCTCCGGCCTGACAAAAACCCCGCACCTCTCCCCGCATGTGAAATACCGCTTCCCTCCGACAGAACCGTCGTTCTTCCCCGTCGGCTCGTCGAGCGTCACGCCGATCCATGGCCCGACACCGCCGGGGATTTCGGGCACGGGCCCAATGTACGAGACGGTGCCGCGGCGGGCGTCGGTCGCGGGGAGGAGGCGGACGCGGGAGTTGAGGGTTATGCCTGGGTGGGGGAGATGTTAGTTTGCGTGTGTAAAGTGCGTGAAGTTGGAGAGGGGAAGAGCATGGTGATGGTCGCTGGGAAGAGGGAGCGCGTGGGTTGAGGAGTCCGCCTGGTGAAGGGTGACGGGTAGTCCAAACAGGTTGTAGGAGATGCTGTAAGTGGTTCTAGCAAATGTGCTCGTATGAATGGGCTGGATAACAATGTACAGCCTATCATTGGCAACGAGGCTCTTGGTTGATTCCTGTAGGAATATGGCGCAATAATCGGAGCCATCGACCTGCAGTCGAAGAGCAGTGGCAATTTTGCGAAAACGTGTACACTCTTGATATCGACATTGTGAGGCTGGTGGCAAGAGTGACCTGCCGTGCACGAGGCTCATGCTGCATGCGGCTGATCCAACAGGACGGTCAGTGGATCGCGATCGCCCCGGAAACCCAGAATATTGGGGGATTATTGCCGAGTGGCGATTTAAAGGGGTTGGGATGAAACTCATGGCGTCTACTGCCTATTGCTCGAGTATCTACGGGATGCTGGCCATGCTCAGGGTCTTCTTCGCTTCCAAGGTCGGACCGGAGTTGCTGCATGTGACTGGATTCGGGAAGCCGTTGCATTGTGGTACGTGGTGTAAAGTAACGAAGGCAACGTGATGTGGTCCTCCGACTCGTTGGGAGATATATTGACTCGGGAATAGGAGCTCTTTAAGGAAGCTTCTCGCAGTAGAGGGCGTAGCCGCCAGCACGTGAATGGCGCCACAGCACAGGTTCATATTGCAGGTGCACTCGAGCATCTCCTACAACCAATGTTGTTGCTATCCATGGCTCATGGACACATCCAGCTGAAGCAGCCCTGCCAGCAAGGGCAACTTGTGGGTGAAAGGGACGGACGAATTGCATGAACGACATACCTCGCTCCTCGATCTCGCGCTCAAAGGCACGAATCTTCTGCTCCTCAATCGTTCCAGCATTGGGGTCGAATCGGCCGAGCTTCTGCGCTTTCTTCCATGCGAGGACGCTGTCTGTCCGGGACTCGTATTCCGCCGTGGGCATCACATACTTCTCGACTGAGGAGAGATCATTGAAATCCGTGCGAGCTCCGACGGGCCGGGTGTCAGTGACCTATAGGGCTTAGAATCAGACATGTAGTCAATGTGAAGGCCTCTATTCGCTTGAGAGAGTTCCGAGGATATATTGAAAAAGTCTCCGGAGAAACGAGCTTGGGCACGGGATGAAGACATGCTAAGAAAAGGAGACCAATGAGTGAGGAAATGACGGCGGAGAAGAGGAACGGAAGCAAAGGAGAAAACTCTGAGACTCCGGACATGCCGCTTGTGGCCTGACAGTGACCTCTACAAAGTGCACGACCTGTCACTCAGGGGCTCCGTTCGTGCCAAGCCATATCCAGGAAGCGAACTGCATCAATGACTAAGCGAACAGGGCGTTGTAGTCTGAATGACGCCCAATGCAGAGTCCGGTGAACGTGGGGAGCAGGAGGAAAGAGACAGCAGGCGTTGCATGCGTCACAGGGAGCATCAGACACAGAGAAGCCAGCGCTCGCAGTAAAGCAGGGATCGTCTGCCAGGATCCAAGACAGCGAGATGTGGCGGGTTGTGATACGGCGAACGACGTCAACATGCCGCTCGTTACTGACAGGATTGACGGTGCTGTGCCAGGTAGGAGAGCCAAGTGTACTTACAGTGATCTCTGCGTAGGGCTGCAACGGAAAGGCAGAGAGTTGGGTATTCTCTTCGTCGGCAGCTGTTACAGGAATGGCATCCTGCGAGCCAACTCGCAACGTCAGCTGTTGGCTGCCAGCCGGAATACCCGTGATAGGTTCGAGTCTTGATTTGAGGAAGGCAATGGTCCATGATGGAGTAATCCGGCGCTCGGACGATGCGTTGGAGGAGTTGATGAGGAGCGGTACGTCTGTTGCGGCCTGCAACTGGTGCGACATTATGGTGGTTGAAGAATTGGCTGACCACACCCGGGAACGAAGAACGGGGAAGAACCGGGTTGCTGTTGACAGTAGCTAGCTTGGGTGACACGGCAGCAGAGTGACAGGCGGGTCGACCATATGGCGGCAACTCTCAGGATAGTGCTCGCGAGAAGGTGTGAACAGGCGTTTGAGAGGTTGTGCCCTTTGCAGCCCAAAGGAGGCGCAGCTTGGCAGGGTTTCCCGAAGCGGAATGCTAACCGAGAAAGCGATCCCGCCAAGAAATGACCCCCCCCGAAACACCATCTGCTAGGCGTCCTTTTGTCCCTCTCCTCTCCACGCGTTCACCCACACCTGGGAACCCAACCCCCACGCCATCATCGTCCTGCCGTGTCTGTGATCACTCATCAGGGCTAATCAGCACAGGGAGAGTCAACTTGTCCAGCACAAGCAATTCATGAACAGCTCGCAGCCGCCCGCGACCACAGTGCGCAGACTCCAGCAGTACTTCAGAGGCACAGTGCAGCCAACGGCGGTCACAGGATAGACCTCACCGCCTATTGCAGTATGCAGGCTTGGCTAAAAATACCTTCCAGGTAGACAGCGTGGTGAACTGTTCGTTCGTGGTGGAGGGACGGACAGCCCAGACGGCGACCCCAGAAGCGACCAGGCTCCGCGACAGCACCCCAAGCCAGCCAACAAACCACCCAACGCTGCAGCAGTTCGAGACACGAACCCAGCAGGCGAGGGCAGTCGAGACGCTGCGTTGGGATGTTACAGCCTGTGACCGGGGCTTTGGAAAAATCAGGTTCGCAGCCGCACCCAGATTGCTACCCAGCGGCCCACTCTGCTTCTTTCTCCGAGCGTCGTCATCTTGTGCGGACCATCCCTCCATCAGTGGGTTTCCATGCTGAACAGATCAAAGCTTTGACCTGAGGGCCGCCTCACAATCATCAACAAGAAGCTACTCGCCCCGTCGCCCATCGCAATTACTCGAGAACATCAACCCCGTGCGTTCTCCACTTCGGGCTAATGCACGCCGTCGCCGTGCTGGCTCCGGGCGGCGGGAAGCCGTGGTCGTACAAGGCGCGACGCTCTGCATTATTACTCAGCGCATATCTAGTACTGACCACAGACCCTTTGCTTTCATAACAAATGCTCCAAAGTCCAGAGACACAAGTCCCACATCTTGACAATTCGATTTTTCACCGCCTGGCGCGCATCATCGGCAGACCAGTGTACACTGTGTAGTTCGGTGATGCAAGCGGCCAAGCGGCATGTATGCCGAACAGCATCTATCGATCCGCCCACCCGCTCTGATGTCATTACCCGAGCCAAACACGCCTCAACTCAGCACAAGTTACTGTGTTACACAGTACAACAATACGTTGATGAGCAGCGACACTGTGTGAATGGCCATGATACACAAGTACAGTGATATACTATTGTGTACGGAGTAGTTAGTTTGGGACATGCCCCAACTTCAAGCCCTCGGCATTGACAGCAAAGCGCCCCGATTGCGGCCAGGTCTTCACGTGGACTCGTGGTGACACAAGGACACAGCCAGAGCTGTCAACGTTCGCCAACCTGCAGGAACAGGACAGGAAAGACAGCTCACCACACCTGTTCACCGCTTCTCTTTCGCATCCTCGTTGCCATGGTGGAGGCTTGGGGCGTCATCGGCGGAGCGCGCCTGAGGGTTGCTGGGCCGCAGAGAGCAGTACGGCCTATGAGAATTCTGGTCTTTCCAACATACCAGTCGTTTCCGGCGTGAACACATCACCATCTGCACCGCCATAATCATGGAGTCAGCGTTGGCCGTTTCGGAGGCCTTTCTCGCTAACGACCAGATTCCTGGCGCCAGATTGCCGTGAGTGACCTGTGGCGCGTAGGATGCTGCTGCAGATCTGCTTCTCTGCTGGAGGCTGCACCGGATGCTCCAGATCCCTGATGCCCTTCACCGCCCAACCAGCGCCCTGATTCGTCCCGTTCTGTTGCGACGTCAGGTTCACAGCTTCGTCTTCAGAGCCTCTGCTCGTTCCTCCGCGTCCCAAGCCCGTTCTTGCGCCGCGCTGCACCGTGGCAGCTAGCACCTGTCGTCGTGGCACCTTCAGTCCTCAGGGGCCACTTGTGCTGTCTGCAAACAGCGGCCGAGAAGCCCGAGATATTGAAGCAATAACGAAATCGAAACAACTGGACGTTCCCGCCCAAGTTATTAACGATCCAAGGTGGGGACACGTCATCGGCAAGGCGTGCGTCGAACTGCGCCGTCGAACTGCGACGAGGTCTTTGGCTGCGGCTAGTGTTTAGCAAAGTTGCTTCGTTTTGAATCTTTACTTTTTGTCGACCATTTTGGATCCCAGCCCTGTCCCCTTGGACCATCAGCTGTTCTGCCTGACTTGCTTGGTCTGTGGGTCCTTGAACGTCGAACAGTGGCGCCGCCAGCGCACAGTCAACAAAGCCAGAGCGTAAAGCACAGAACAGCTTCGAGCGTCAACTCACAGACGCGGTGGCTCTCCTTCATGAGTCCAACCCCCGGACCCTTGCGCGGGCGATCAAGGCACGCCAGGGCATGCCCATACAAGAGATGGCATTACCGTCCTTGGTTGTACCCGCTAGTCCCTAACGCCTCTGTCCTGCTGCACTCAGGTACCTCACTTCCGTCGCCTGGCCGCTTCTGTTTCGCACCTAACACGGCCGTCGTCCTTTTCTGCTCTATTCCTTTTCCTCGCGGCAGTGGCTATGCAAGCTTGCCATTAGACGACCACATTGGCTTGCACGTTTCAACCCCTGTCCAATCGGCCAGAGCTATTTCCTAAATAGCTCCTTGAGCGCGACCACTTATCGTGTGTATCCAGCACGAGAACGTCCAACTGGCTACATCGACTTTACATTGGCACACCTAGATCTCTTCGTCACCCACTGCGACCCTCTCCCTTCTATTCCATATCCAACCCTCCACTTCTGTTACTCCTCTCCCTGAGTCGTCGTTTCTTCATCAACACGACACACATCTCACACACCTTCTTCCGGCCACGAACATCCTCAACACACCAAAAACAGAATCCCGACGCAGTCAGTGTTTCTGCCTAGCCACTCTAACCCGAGGTCACCCAACAACGTTTTGTAAACCTCGTTGTGGCTGAAGCCGGCCAGCAAGGTCTCAATCAACTATCACAGGTCCTAGTCGTTAAGTTGGAGAGCCCAAAGGTTGGCAGGAGACGTGCGCTGGGAATTGCTTTTTGATCTGACCTGGGCCTCAAAACGCCGCTTGATACGAATTGCCATCCTCAGTCCGGTTCAAACATCGCACTCCCGTCGTAGAGTGTATCAGCCAGCAATAGCTCCCGCCAGTTCACTGCGACGCCTTGAGGAAAGGAGACCAACACAACTCCCACCAGACCTAGGGGCCAGCTGAGGGCTGGTCCATCTCGCCTATCGTGGATATCAATCGCCTCCTCGAGCCCCGGGGCTCTCAGTCCCCAACCAGCGCAGCTTCTTCAGTGTCGCCTGGAACCATAGGCGCCTATTCGACCGCGAACTCGACACTTACGCCCTCTCCCGCATACACAGCAAGGCCCATACACCCCACCGCTTCCTCTGCTTCCCCGGCATACACGTCAGCTAGACCAGTGCATGGAACGACAACATCTGGTTCAACGGAGCCTGTCCCCGCCCTTCTCCCAGCTCCTGTATCCGCACCTATGCAGGGCGGCCCAGTCCTCCCCACTATTGCAGAACTTCATAGACGCCCAGATCCGGGACAGCCCCAATTTCGCCCGCTCTACGCCGATCAGTCACTGCAAACAACCGGTCACCAGGGAACCAATACCTCCCCGCCTTTTCGAGGTTTGAAGCGTTCAGCTTCCCAAGCTCCTCTGCCCGAGAGTGCTCCGGTGGACAAGAAGGGAAAGTGGACGCCCGAAGAAGACGAAATCAACATACAACTACGCAGCCAGAACGTAAAGTGGGATGATGTGGCGAAATGTTTACCTGGGCGCAGTGCTATCTCATGCCGCTTACGATTCCAGAACTACTTGGAAAAGCGTGTTGTTTGGGACGAGGAAAAGAAAGATAAGCTGGCCAGGCTGTATCACCGGTAAGTGCAACATTCGCTATTAATTTGGTCAGGTGTAAATACCTCTACTTGGGCAGAAACTTACAACAAGTTCAGATTTTGCCAGGAGATGTGGCAGAAGATCGCGACAGAAATGAAGATTCCGTGGCGTACTGCCGAAGCTATGCATTGGAAGCTAGGTCAAGAGGAAATGCACAATCGGGCAAACGCGCCCGTGTTCCAACTACATCCCTCGGCGCACTCCGCCATGCCATCGGCTCCAGCCCCTCCTCCACAGAACCTCACCGCAATCAACACAGGCCAGCTCGTCCCAAGTCCAGCCCCTCATCCTGCGCAGCCACTGCCGACCATGCAATCTGGGCCAGCGCACCAGTACCACCAACGGTCTGACAGCGGTCAAAGCCAGGGAAAACGTACGAAACCCTCGATGGGTAGGCGCCGGAGTGATCAGCGACCAAGTTCCAGTGTGCCACCCCAGCTTCGACCAACCCTACCCTCATTACAGCCTACCTCTGAGGCAGACCTCGTCAGTGGGCCAAGGACCACGCCGCTCCTTGGTAGTCATGCTACAGGAACGGGAGGTAATGAGAATGTGGATTATATTGGACTCGAACTGAAGAGAAGGCGGGAGGAACATGCTGGTAGTACGCTGCTTAGTAGTTCGGGCGCTCGCAGCTTGGGTGGGCGAAGTCCGGATCGTTCTTCGCAGCACAGTGGGACTGGAAGTGTCCACAGCACTTATAGAGAAGAGGCAGGCGCATCGCCAGGCGTCAAACGAGAACCATCTTCGGGCTGCATATAACCTACAAACGATCCCGAACCACGTTCTCATCACAACCGCATTCGGTTTTGGAAACGCAACGATTTCTGGTCCGCCAGTGGGAAGTCAGAGATGATCACGTAGCATGTCGAGGAAGAGTTGGATGTACTCTTCGGATCCCCACGAGCGGCGCAAAGGACATGGCAAGGGATGATTTCAAGAGCAGTTGCATAGGTCAGGCTCTCAGCAACAGACGGTGATTGCATTGGGGCAAGGTTAGCATCGTTTTCTCGAAGTTATCGAGTGGCAATGGTCGTGGCATTTAGCGTTGGTCGGTTTGTCTCTTGCTATTTCCATCTGCGTCTCCCTATTTTATTTGAAGCATTTCGTTTTGCATTACTGACTCGATTTTTTCGCGAGGCCAATAATAAAGCGCCCCCCAATATGAGCGGCAATTCTACGTCCCTTTTCCTTCCTTTTCTAGTTTGCGCGACACATATTCTTCAGCATTTCAGCCAGCACGATGCATGCGAACACGGGAGATACAGAAGCGAATGGACCCAGATTGTTTTTCCTCCTTCCTCAACTACAACACAAGAATGGCGCATTACAGCATCGTCGTACTTTTCCCCTTTTGCGCGTTGCGAACTTTGCCTCAGCCGTCGTGGCTATGATTGTACAGTAATTCGTGTCCTCTTCTTCATTTCCTCGCTATCACTATTACTACGTTTATTTAATACATCAGATTGCATTCATGCTCCCAGCGTCAAGACCTCTACTCCCAGCGTGTTGTTTTTCGGCGACTTAGGTGACTCGCTATACTCAGGATGCATGAACCATGCATGACTCGAGCATTACTCGCGTTACTACCCACAGACATGCGGCGGTGTACACACAGACGTTTCGACTCCAAACTAGCTTTGGATATCCTCGGCGACTCGCCGCTTCATCGCTGGCACGTTCCCACCGCCTTTTTTCAGAACGTACAGTCACCGCCCTCTGACCTGGCTGCGAAACTGACCCAATTCACGGGCGCGGCGGGTCTCGCACTCGATTTGGCAACCAAGAAACCATTTGTTGATCGTCCGGATGACGTTGTGCTTCCTTTCCTTTCCTTGCTGGGCTTTTTTGGGTTTTTGGCTCTGCAACCGGTATTCTTGTTTTTGAGCAAAAGCGAAGCTCGAGAAGTAGATCGATAGGAGGGGACGATCAACGACCATCGTCTACGTGGCGCGCCGTTGTGCGTTGGAATATTTGTTTCTAGCTTGTTCCGCCCAGCCAAAATCTTTTTGCACTTTGAGCATACAGTACACGTGCAAAACTACTTTGTGAAGCCAGAGAAGGGGAAGGCAAGAAGGAGGGAAGAAGGTCGACGTGGCTAGCTTCATCGTTACCGTGCTGTATAACGCCTAACCATTCATTCCTTCGGCACGAAGTCGGAGGTGGACCGGTCGACGATGCGGTGATGGTGGGGGAATGGTGCAGGAGCGGTGGTGGTGGGTTGACGATGAACGCACGGGAGCTGTAGCTCTCTTGCTTGCCTTCCCAGCGCTTCACTACTATGTAGGGTATGGAGCACACGAAACGGGTCCCAGATATAGATGGATGCAAGACTATGCGGAGATGCCTGACGCCTTACCTCAGTACATGGTCGCTGAAGACCAGGGATGTGACATCACCGCCCTATACACAGTAGACAGGAGAGATAGATGAAGTGCCGGTACTGGTACCGAAACCCTGCCGTTCAACTGCCCCTGCTACGATATCCTCTCATATGTAATCAATCCCAGCAACGAAACCCTGATTCAGCAAAACTCCCGTCGCTGCGACGACCCGCCAATCGATCGACACACCCGGGATCCCAAGGATTGCGCGCAATCCATCATCGGTTCAGCTTCGGGACTCGTCACAGCTGAAGGAGCTGTAGGGTTCATCACAGGGTAGATGGATCCATGGTGCGGCCGGTACATCTCCGGGAGTACCTGCAACCCATGGTTCAGCACGGTTGCTGCGTTATTATTGACCTCCATTCACATACCAAGCTTTTTAAGCTTCGTTCGAGAATTTTCCATTGCAGGGCTGCGAGAGCCTGTGGGTTGGGTGGGAGGGGGAGGGGTTTGAAACATCGGCGAATTTGTAAGGGGTGGAGAGAAAGTGAAACTACCCTGGGGGAGGGCGGGGGCAGAGGCTGACCTTTGGAGGTTGGAGGTTTGAGGTTTTGGGTTGGTGACCGGTTTGTTTATGCACTACATGTACTATTGATAGATGGGAGAGTGAGGCCTTTGGGAGTAGGCAGGTTGAGGTCCGATACATTATTGATGATGAGCTTGACGGGTTCGCGCTGGAACAGGTCGAAGATGCGTGGGAAATGATGTAATGCCCTGGTAATGAGTTCCCTGCACAATTACACAGTACTACCCTATCTCACGATACTATTGCTACCATGTATCAAACACCATGTATAACGTCGCCAAGCCCCTCCTCTCTACTTCTTACACCCACCTGTTCGCAGATAAGTTCGGTATCGGCTCACACCGCGAGGGCTTATTTGTCATGCGATAAAATTGGATACAGTATGCGAGTATTTGGCATTATCGTGCATGGAAATTCAAAACAACCGAAACCCATGCACAGGCAACGTGAATCTATCTGCAGTTTCAAACATCAAGCACACTATAAGTAATCCACCGCGGCTCGAACGCAAGCGATCCCGGCATGAATGATCGGGTCTGATGTGGAATAAAAAAGCAACAATATACTAATACCGGCCTAGCCCTGACTATAGGAACGGGTTGAGTACCGCCTTGGGAACTCTGATGCGAGTTGCTTGTTGCTTTTCCCTCGAAGGATACCACACACCGGTAGAAGCTCGGGACGTCACCGATTCACCAGCTTTTCCGGACTTCGGATGCTGCTGCATTCATTATCATGGATCATGGATCATGGGTTTGGTGGTGATGGTGGGTGATGAGCCGCGGAGATGTTTCTGCCAGACCGGGTGCAGCGGTGTTATTTTAGGATCGGAATTGGGGGAACCGTGGTTTGGACCTGAGTTTTGACTTCAGGTAATAATAGGTAAAACTGGATGCTAAGCTTTCTAAGGAGATGTGATACCAGAGGCTTTCACTCCTATCGGCGACGTGGAGATTGCCTTGTTTAAGGCTGGTGGCCCGTTGCTGAGCTCGGATGGGTATTCTATGATAGGATATCTCTAGACTGAGCTTTTCGAAATCTCACTCAGCCCTATAGATAACTGGTATGGTGATGCTCAAGAAGGAACTTCTATGGGATTCTTGGACGACAAGGGAGTTGGATCTATTGTACCCAGTGCCAGACATCCTCACCGACGGTGGTTTTTTCACCAGGCTTGCGTGTTATGGGCCTCTTTGCTTAGACCGAAGATATTGCGGCCGAGGCCAACTCTCGACTACTTCGCCGTTGTGCGGCACCGGATTCGTAGGGAGTGTGCGTAGTGCGTCGGGCCTGCAAGATTGCGGGGTAGAAATGTAAATATCTGTCGCCGTAGGTGTTGTGCTCACAGTTTGCATGGTCTTCTATAAACGGTTTTCAACTGTTTCTTCGAGGGGCCGGAGAATGGGGAGGATTGAAAAAGTTGTTCCAGCAGCGGGTGAATCCATGAATTTCTATTGGCAGATTCCTACCGTGATTTTACATAGATGCGAAAATGCTGGGTTTGCGGTTCGTCGTAGGGCAGTTATGCGAAGTAGTTGTGATTGCGCGGTATGGATGAAGCAACGACAACGCTGGATCCAGCTGTACCTGATGGATTTTTTTAATAAGTCTACAGGTTACAGGGTTTTGAAAATACTTTCAGATACAGAATTCGGCACGTTGGATGCGGAGATCTTTTCCATGGCCAAGCTTGAGTTTCTAGTGTCCCTCTCGTCAGTACTTTGTTGGTGCATCGATTTGACCAATCTAAACGATCTTATTCCGTGAAGACCTCTCAATAAACGTTTTAAAGACGCTTACGGATACAGCATGATAGTTGTGCGGTTTTGAGTGTCAGGATATGTTACTGGTGTTGGAGCCTGCAAGAGCCTGAACAAACATGGAGACGAACCGGAGATGACCCGGGAAAATCGACGTAGAACTTGCCTGTAGAGTGTCTCGTTAGTTGCTTAAATACATTTATAGCCGGCGAAGTGATTGACAAGTCGGCGGGGCAAAGAAGTCATCTGTAGGTGTGTGTTCGCACCATTCTCATGGACGAACGGTTGCTATTCAGCGCAATGGTGCATCGCTACGTTTCCCATCCTTTCATGGTACAACACTCTCTTTGATACCAAATACAGATGCGTAATTCTGGAGCCGTGTCCTTTCAAAGTTTACTGCAAGACAATATGATGGTGCGCGGTACCACCCAGAAGTGTCGACGTCCACACAAGGTTCTGGCACCCCCTAGCTCTCCTTTTGTACAACCTTACACGAAACTTCCAAATATTGCTGACCCGCGGGTCGCGTTTCTCCCGTCTCATGTTCATCGCATCCTCGCGGAGACCTTTGTGCGACGCTGACCCCCAGCTACCCACCTCGCCACTTTTGAGTCCGAGCCTCACGTTTGGTGACCGGACATGTTGTATCACCACACCTGCAGCTCCATATGCCGCCAGTATGAGAGGCTGGAGCCTTGCGATGAACCTACGGATGCTTGTGTCAGTGAAGACGTGCAGGGGCCAGCGGGCTGGTCACGTTGTGGAACTTCGACGACGTCGTGAGAGACGACATGTCAACCAGCCATTCATCCATACCGGCTATCCTATTGAACGAAGCGGAAACCAGATACTGTTGGTATCCTTCCACTTCCCCGCTCGTACACCATGTGACGACGCCTAGCTTTTCGTGGGCTGCTGCAAGGATCTATCCGACTCATGCGTTTGTTGCAGACTGACTGATGCTGCATACATCTGGCGTGGGGGTTGTGATATGGCGGTGTAGGTCGTAAGTTACTGGCTCGGAGCTCTTCCTTGGAGCCGCAAGCACGGCGTCAGGTTACATGCGTATCACAGCAGAGGTACTTTGACAGGTGAAGGGATAATGTGAGTGCAGGGGCATATATGCGGACATACTGCACTGCAACCGTAAGCATCTATGCATACGTCTCCATTCCAGGCCGGCAAGGGGGTTGTGTGCAGTGGAGGCTCAATGGTGAGAGCGAACTGCCAACGGTAGATTCCCCCCCTGCGGCATGAACACCACCAGGTGGTGATGGGTAAGGATGTTAAAGAAACTTGAAAGTTCTAGCTAGTTAGGGTGAGGACAGGGCAGTCGTTAAGGGGACTAAAGGAAAGGGTACTTGTTCACCCATCAAGCTTGAAACAAGTTTCTGCTCTGACGGAAGGGGTAGTGTTAGCGGCACTTCATTGCACGAGCTTTGCCCTGTTCACGAGCTGAAAACAGAGACCTAGGACAACAGTTATTAAAGTGTTGGCACATTTGGGTTCAGGGGATCGCGACGACAAGCATTCGTTGTCCATTTTAGTAGCGGTTGGACGAAGCTTCGCTAGCGATTTACAAGACGAGGGAGGTTAAGTCAGCGTTGCTGGATGATACAGTGGGTACTTGGCCGTCAGCAGCGACGCAAGCCTGATCTGCACCCTCATACATGAACCCAGTATTATACCTGCGTTCAGTTTCGGACGTGAGGTATACTTCACATTCTGGCTTTCCAAGAGAGATCCATGGATCTGCGGGTGAGAGGCATGGTCTTAGTAGAGAGACAGCGAAACTATTTCGGATTCTACGTTCTATGATATTCGGTATCTTGTACTTGCAGCAACCTGGACGATATGCTGATCCAATGAAACTTCATGCAGCTATCCCTTTGGGATGATGTTGAGGTTCTGGAACCTTTTTGGACGTCGAAACTCGGCGAATGTATGTGGAATACTCCATGGAGCGAGTTGAAGTCTGAGGGGTTCTTATTTCCGAGTCTGGCCGATTTCTTGTATAAGGATCCTCCCTCCCTCAGTATATAGGCAATAGGGCGATTGTTCCACTGCGAGCTCTCGCCGATCGTTTGACAGATGAAGGTTGCCATCATCAGACGCGTGTGTTTAGGGAACAGCTGGCTTCTAATTGTCTCTCGCTACCTCCAGATCGTACGTGCGCAACGTACTGGACGGATGAATTGATAGAGAGAAAGAGGTTGTGTATTCCCTTTCAAAACGATCAAACTGTCCTTCTGTCCCCGTCTCCTCCGGGAGATAACCCACGGTACTCCTAGGGACAGTGAGCTTCTCTTCATTATTATGACATCGGGGCTTACCTTGCCAAATGCTTATACTTATCAACCGTAGTAGGAGGCAATCACATTCGCAGTTGCACCGTGGAAATCATAGCACTCTCCAATCTTGAAGCCGTGGGCCGTGGAATCCACATAGCCGGAACGAATGGCCCCAGTTAAACTTCCGCAGTTGTCCGCGGCAAAAAAGTGAGCTCTCTGATGGTTACCGCCCCGGCCCGTGATCTTGAAAGATCGGAAGCCTTCAGCCCAAGCCGCACAGGCGTTGTCCAAGATGTTGACTCCGGATTGGACTGGGCCATCGCAGTCCTGCCTATCGAAGGTATCAATCATGAATGCACTTCCACTGGCAGTGAGACCAGTCACGATGGTGACAGCGGAAGTGACGGAGAAACGCATTCTGAAAACTGGAGAGACTGAAGTCGGAGTGATTGAGGACAAGGTGAAAGGCGGGAGTCGAGTTGCCAGAGTATCTTGAGCTAAGAAGCTATGCTGGTGTAGAGCAGCGGGAGAGAGCGTCATTACACCTCATAGTAGAAAAGAATTACTTGAAGTAACCTCCTTAATAGACTCAGTTACCTATATAAAACGCCAACAAGCCTCCCCGCCTCTGCTTCTACGCCGCGTACGTCGCTGGGTGGCGAAGCCGAATACTTACCCCTGATACCACAGCACAGTACGGCATTCTTCCGCACGACGAGAATCACTATTTCTTCCCTGTATGGATTACGGCACGGGGATCTGCCCAATCAGTAACTGCAAATACTCCCCAGCCTGGAAACTGTAACTAACTTGGGGCATTTTCAGCCAATTATCTGTCTGTAAAGTAATCCGTGCAACCCTTGCGACCCCTGTTTTCACACCGGACGTGAAAAGGTGCTGTACTTTCCCTACCAATCATTTGCTCTTCCGATACGCACATTCGTACCCCAGTGTATAGTGTACGCGTGTGCACCACAACCTGTGATGGATTTACCAACACTACCGCGCACTTCCAGAGTACGGAGTTCTCCGTACTCTTCAATAATATAACAATCAATCCTCTGCCGGGTAAGATACTACAGTCTACTGCACCCTATGGAAGGTGGAGTTACCACACAGTAGGTTTCCTGTGCAGACTTCGCGTCCGAAACTTGCCCAATGGTAGAGCCGCCGCCATTAATCCAATGTGGGAAATGGTTGTTTCGGAGTAGACTGAGCCAAAGAAAACCCTGTTAAATAACTGTTACGACCCCCTGCGATCCTTAGAAGTGGAACGAACACCGCCTTCGTCTCTGGCAAGTACTGAGCCTAGATTCCTACACCATAGGGTTTCTGCAGCTCAGACCCAATTCAGTAAATAACCGAAACAACATATCTTTTCTCAAGATGGTAGTAGAAACGTCGACTTAGGGAAACGACTTCATGAGCCAGGGTCCCGAAAAAGTAGGTTTCGGCCACGGCGAGCCACAGTACGGTGAACTGGGACAAAGGCCTATTTTTCCATGTGCTATGCTCGTACGTGTTCATCTAGTCAGTCAGGCTTCTTGATATTCAAACCATAGTTGTTGACGGTTCCCAATATTGCATTAACTCTGTATTCCGCAACACTAACTGCGCGCTTGAGAAACAAACGAGATGCAATACCTCAACTTTTCAAACCTCCTGAACACTTCTGCCTTTAGATACCGGATCCGTCCTCCGGGTCTGTCTCATTTGCCGACCATGCATCCCACCGTTCACCAAGTTCGTGGAATCCATTCTCTATTGGCTTGAAATCAATCGAACTCTTCCTCTCGACAAACTGCATGGATAGACCTTGACCTGCATGCCACGCAATGTGGCAGTGTAGGAGCCATGAGCCAGGGTTATCGAGGCGGAAAGCTATCGCGAGGTGTCCATGGGCTGGCAGTACAGCCGTACCACGTCGTGGGGGATTTTTCGTCATGAAACCATTGGCGGTTCCGTCCCAGGGGCCGTTCTCCTGCGCTAGAATCCAGAAGTCATGGCCATGTAGATGTATGGGGTGGGAAATGCTGTGCATAGAGCCTCGTCAGTGAATTCAGCAAATGATTGTGTATTGCGAGAGATCACCTACCCCGCAAGGAGACCCAGGACCTTATTTTCAATAACTAGGACAGTCCACTCGTCGTCGGACGAAGTCTTCTTCTGTTGCTCGGTTAGTTATTGTCATGAAAGTGCTTCATTTTTCCTTACATCTACCGAAACGACGTTCAACTCAGTCGGAAAACTTGTGTCGTTATTGTAGGCACGATTAAGAGTCGGATTGCTCCAGTCTAGCTGCAAGGTGCTGCTATTGATGGTCCCTGTAAACAGGGCCTCATGAGTAAAACGGACGCGGAGCTCTTCAAGCGTAATTCCACCGATATTCGACACGTCCACGTTCAGATACGGTTCCAGGTTTTCCAGCGGTTCGTCATTGCATATCTTGGGAGGTTGAACAACGCTGACACTTGTCGGATCATTCTTGCTCGTAGCATCATACCGAACAATTCCCGTGGAGTCCTTCGGATTGTCGTTCGCGGTCCCAGCGCAGATGTTGACCCAATAAGCTCGTAGCCAGTAGTCAGTAGTCACCTGGCTCAGCATTCGCCTCGACGACGACATCGTATCGTTGGGCGCCATTGATAATGACACTGTCTGTAACGTAAGGCTTGATGGGAACAAAGTCGTTGGCGATCACCGTGAGTTTGTGGCCGTCGATGCTGAATTGAAACTGGCTGTCAGTGGCGACGTTGACCAAGCGGATCAGATATTTCTTTCCCGGTTGGAAGACGGTCTCGAATTTCTTGCCACCGCGACGCACTGCTCTGATTCGGAAGTGGAACAGTTGAACGTGTTTGTCCCATTGATCAGGAGGTTGTTAAGTGGATGCGTAATGCCGTACTTCTGTTTATTGTGCCATGCCGTGAACATACGCTGGTGCGACCAGTCCTGGAGAAAAGGACCCCGAGGTCCTCGTCGTAGTCGGCGGAAGCTGGACCATGAAATATTAAAGCGCCGAAGAGCCCTTCGGAGTATTGAAGCGAAATATGGCTGTGGTACCAACTCGTGCCGTATTGCGTGACTTTGAACTTGTACGTCATGGACTCTCCTGGAGGGATCGGACACTGGGTAACGCCGGGGACTCCATCGTTGAAAACAGTATCGAGCTGCCGCACACCATGCCAGTGCACTGTTGTACCGTTTGTTTGAGATTATTGGTTACATGAACGATGAGAGTGTCTCCCCAATTTGCGACAATGGGCGGCCCTGGCATCGTTCCATTGAACGTCATACAAGTGCGTTCGAATCCATCTGGGTTGCAGGTAGCTTCTTCTCCAGATAACCAGACCTCGACTGTGCGGCCAGTGTCCGGAATCGTGGTGATGTAATTCGTATCGACGCTGTATTCACCCCAACAATGTCGAGTGTTTGGCGTGATTTCGCAAGGCGTGGCCGCCCTTCTATCAGGTCTCACCACAGCTTTGACATCTTGTAGCCCGTCGGGTATATAGGAAGCGGATGAGACGGCGGCCCAGGAAACTAGTGAAAAGAGTGGATGCTTCATGGCTGGGAAACGATAGAAGAGATAAAACAGTTTTGTCTGCTCTTGCAATGCAAGTCGAGCATAAATAAAATAATCTCAAAAGAAAACGGGTGTGCTTTCATGTTAAACCCCTGTAGCTAAGCTGGAAGAGCCTGGGTCTGACTATTTCCGATCTTACACTCTTCAAGGAATTGGGTGAAGAGCACGCGTATTTCTGAGAACGATGTCCCAATGAAGGAAACACACCGACTCGGAGAGGTTCACAACCAGGAAGGTCGGAAAATACATCGGAATGAGACTACTTTTCTCAATTTCAGGAATTCATCTCGGACGTTGAGGCCAAATATCGGAGGCTCGTGCTCTTTGAAGTATCGTTTGTGGTCTCTTGCTTCGTCTTTCTCTCTCTGCCACCACTGCCCTTATTCTCTCACCATGGGTCTCTACGCGCGCTTTCTAATATATATTCAAATCCTTGTTTACTGCGCGCTCAGCGTATACGGCTGGGAAAATCATCCTCTACCGCTAAGAGACATACTTAAGTACCCTCTCCTGACGTACCTGCAAGACATTGCAATTGGCACCAATGGCGACATATACATGACAACAGTCTCCCCAGATGCGACGATATTCCATCTAACCGGCGCAACTACGGAAAATCCAACTTCCACCGTAGTCCATAAATTCGAGGACTTGAACGCAGCAACGGGTATCCGTGAGACAAAACCGGGCGTCTACCATTTCCTCGCTGGCAAACAGGGAATCATCGGTATGGGGATCCATGGTATTTCGGGAATCTTCGAACTGGACACCCGCCAGAACCAGACATCCATCAAGGAGCTTATCCACATGCCCGACGCTGGCCTCATCGTTAGCGTGATTCCGGTTCCCGGGTTGGACAACATATTACTTGTCTCCGACTCGAGCTTCGGCAGGGTATATAGAGTGGACCTTTCTAGGGGGAAATACGAGACGGTTCTTGAAGACCCCACCATGTTTCCCCCGCCATGGGCAATCATTCCCTTCGGTATCGGCGGTATCCAGCTTCACAAGGGTTACCTTTATTATGTGACCTGCTTCAGAGCCATCATACACCGCATCAAGTTCACCGACGACGGATACCCCGCTCCTGGAGCAAAGGTTGAACAGGCCCTCGCACTTCGCTCAATCTACATTGATAACTTCGTCGTCGGGGAGGATGATACTATCTGGGCGATGTGCAATGCGGACAACCGCATGGTTGCTGCCACGCCTGACGGTAATGTATCCGTCATTGCCGGTGCTCCGGACGAGCTCATCGCGGCAGGAGTTGTGGCAGGGGCCTTTGGTAGACTTCCAGGTGATGAGAAGACGTTATATGTTACTTCGTGCGGAGGGATGCTTAATCCAGTTAATGGTATTACCTTTGAAGGAGGAAAACTTATGGCAGTGGACACGAGAAGTTGGTGAAAAGCCACAGAATTTATACGTCTTTCAGACTGAATGCTTAGACTGTAGAGCAATTGGTTTAGTCTTTGTGAATTAGGTTGCTAGACTGCAACACATCCATTCTTCAGTGTTCAAGGCTTGGTCGCGTGGTCTCTGCCATCTTGGTAGAGAATTGTGTATAGGCTCAAAGTACTATCATAGCTCACTTCTCCGATTTTGGGATACAGATGGTCTACGCTTCCATCCTATGCTACATGCATGTAGCTAAAGGCGGACTGAAGTACTCTTGTATTAATTACTGGAAAATCGACTATAGATGGAATATCTGGTGCTCATCTAATGACGGAATAAAAGTGGCCCACTATTCTGCAACCACCTACCGCCCCTTTCCACATCCGCTGAGAGAAACAAGGGTTCGCAGCGGGTCGCATTGCGTCGGAGGGGTGCAGGACACGGGGAAAACAGAATAGGGAGAGCTCCTTATTGGCCAGTGCGAGGGGGAGGGCAGGAGGAGTGAATTTTGCTCGTTCGTATTCTGAAGGGTTACCTACGTGAGCTTTGCTACATTATATGCGGTGATGACCGCGTTGCTCTCCCCTCTGGTGGCAGTGCTTTCCAGCGGCTGTTCATACTGGTGGTAATGCCTTGATCTACTTTGTAAGATACAGCAATGAGAAGGCATCCCAGACTGTCTGCAATATTTTGACGTACTGTAGCTAAAGAGAATGACATCTGTATATACTGTATTAACTAAACCTAATGCCTTAGTGCTGGGATCATCGTCAGACAGCCAATGATGTGCTACTGTAATCATGTCCCGTCATGAGAAGATAGATCATCCGCATCGACAGGTTACCTCAGAATAAGTATGGTCGACGAGCAGCGGACTATCCATTGAGGTGATTCGAAATTGCAACTGAAGTCATGTCAATATTGGTGTGGGTTGAATTGTACGTAAAGCTATAAAGCCACCCTGAAAAACAAACCCGAACGCCGGCAGATACCAAAAACGCCTCCATACCAATAAATTAAGAATAATCCATCCTGAAACTATGCGGCAAAACCCCAACTCCATCACGCAGCAACCTTCTCTCCATCCGCAATCTCCCGTGCAATAGAAATCTTCTCAAGCTTCTCATAACTCTCCTCCGAGTCCGACGGCAACCGAAGAAGCCGACTCCGACGAAGGCGGAGCGGGCGTGAGACTTGGACTCCGAGCTGCCAAAGACGAGCCACTTGACTGGGCAGTCGAGACAGTGATGGCAGGCGCCGCAACGTCGACCATCTTCTCGAGCGCCGTGCGAATCAGGTCCGCAATGGACCCGCCTCCCAATATCTTCAACGTAGGCACATCAACACCGAGTTCCTTCAAGAACCATGCTCGCAGGTCGACGGCTACGAGTGAATCGACGCCGCGATCGACAAGGCCGGTTGTGCCGTCCAGCTTCTCCTCTTCCGGAATCCGCAGCAGGCGTCTGAGCTGCGCCCAGAATGCGTCGCGGGTGATGGCGTAGCTCTCCTCGGGAGTCTGTGCCACCTGGAGCTGCACCTTGACGCGTACACTGGTCTTTGCTGCCTGGATATCAGCTTGCTTCTCGCCGCGTTGGATGAAGTGGCTGAACTTGACGTCGCGCTTGTGCGACGCCTTGACTTCAAAGTCAGGTGGGATGAAGGTGACGCCCATGCACACCTGGTTGGAACCCTGACCCGGGCGGCCGGAGAGTATGCCTTCTGCGAAAAGAGCGTGCAGGTCTTGCTCGGAGATGTTGATGTGGCCGAGCGACTGGAAGTAATCGAAGTCAAAGTTGTCGGCGTGGGCTGCATATCCGATGCCCAACACGGCTGGAATATTGACGGTGGAAGCTGCAAGTCCACGCGCCCGCCTGCTGGAGGCTAGAGACGTCATCCATTCGTTGGCAGCGGAGTAATTGCTTTGACCTGTCCATCCAATGATAGATGCGATACCGGATGTGAGGATGAAGAAGTCAAGCGAGGTATCATTATAGAACGCTTGGTCGAGCAACTGCGTACGTAGCACCTTGGGTGCGGTGACCTTTCGGAAGCTCTCCAGTTTCATATTGCCGAAGAGTTCGTCCTCCAGTATCATGGCCCCGTTAATCACACCAGAATCGGATGCAAGGTGGATTTGATGTCACCAAGTGCCCGGTCGAGAAATTGGCGGGGATTAATGTCGAGGGACTGTGCCCTGACAAGTGCACCATATCTCTTCCGCATATCTTCGATGAACTTCAGGTTAACTTTGGGATTGCGGCTGGTAAGAACGACAGTTCTAGCACCGTGCTTGATCATCCACTCCGCAAGCGATTGTCCAAGCTCACCAGCCATACCGACGAAAAGATATGTCCGATCGGCCCGGAATACGATTCCATTGTCAATAGGCTCAACTTTGACAGGAACGGAGGTGCTAGTAGTCCAGTCAAGAACGCGGAGAGATGCCCCACTCTTTGTCTGCTGGGTGATATCCTCAAGGGTAAGGGTTTCCACATCGGATTTGAAGTCATCCACTTCGAGAGTGTCGTTGACGGCGGCCTTGAGCATGAGCACAATTGTGGCCTCAGCCTCAGGTGTTGGTGGAGGGTTTAGTTCATAACTCATGAGTTCTCCCTCCACGATCTTCAAGCAAGCCGGGGGCACGCATTTGACGATCGATTTTCTCAAAGCGTCTGACGCAGCGCCACGCGAGAAATGAACAAATACGGCGACTGAATTTGGAATGGCTTCCAGAATGGCGCGTTGATGGAGATTTGGGTGTAGGAAGATGGAATGGCCGGCACCTTGTTGTCGGGCTCCGGCTCTCGTGAAAACAGCGTGTACACCTGTTGCATTGGCAATTCTCGTCACTGCCGCCTGTAATTCCACGCCGGCCTCATTGACGAGCAATGTGGTGCCCTTGGGAACAAGGGACAGGATCCGTTGTGCGATGAGATTATTGGCGACAGACGCGAGCAGCGATGGCGAGGAAGTGTTTCCGATAGATACGCAACAGTGATCCGGGACTCGTACAAGAGAAGCGGAGGATTCGGTAAGAGCGATGATGGTCTCGCCAGTATCTTCATCAGTCCCGAGGCACAGTCCGGAATATCCGCCTACGCCGACAGCTAGGCTTTGAAGCAAGGAGTACTTGACTCGCACGTTTCGTTGTCCAGCGGCCAAGCGACGGGACAAGCGCAGAGGGGATGTCTTCTGAAGCTCCAATGACCACTCTTTCTCGCTTTGCTCAACAGCGACAAGCTGGAGCGTCTCATGAGCTGCGTCTGCTGTTGTGATGACATCTCTCCGGCGGGCATTATAACGCTGATTCTTCTCCACATCTGGCACAAGTCGGGTAAACAGCTCCTTCCCCTCGCTGACAGTAATCCCAGGTTCTGGTGTCCACAGCAATCCACTGTTGGTACCCCACTCGTGAAGAATATGCTCTCTGAGCAGGTTCAGAGCCAAATCGGTTGCTGTGCGTTGCTCGATCCCGGTGCCACCATTCACTTTGGGGTCCAAGTCGTACATTTGTACACTCAGATTCGGGTACTCCGTTTGCACAGTGCGGATGATGCCCTTCATCATATGGCTGTAGGGCCGAACTGCCTTTGCGCCACAGTTTACCCATACGACGGTTCCGCCAACAGCCCACAGCGTTTTGAGTGGATCGAATTTCGCGGGTGTCAGCTCTTCGAGGTAAGGCCTGTCCAGATCCACCAAAGAGAGAACAGTAATGGAAGTCTTGGAGGCAGCCAGATCCGAAGCGGCAAATCCTTCCATGGTATCGAAGTGTTGTTTGTTCTGGAAGCGGTGCGAGAGTACGTGCGCAACGTCCTGCCCAAGCCTGTGTAAGGTAACGTCAGACCCCCTACAATTGCGAGGTCGTCATTGCGCACATTGGCCGGTCGCTCTCGGGCAGTGGGAGAGTTTCGCAACAAAGTAATTTGGTCGTCGACGGCCTGTGCCACAAACACGGACATGGGAAGTGAGGCGCTAATGTCCGGACTAACAGTGTCGATGCCCGAGAATCCCACCTTTCGCAACGTAGAATCCCACTGGCGTAGAGTGAGCAGTGGTCCCCATGGTCGTCCAGTTTCCGCACCAATCCACCAGCCCGGAAGCGTCCCAACCGTCATGCCGCTGAAGAGCAGCTCGGTGGATGTCAGCTCTGCGACGACGAGGAAGCCGCCTGGCTTCAGGAGACGCCATACGTTCGATAGCTAAGCCTCCATATCAGCAGAGACGTGGAGAACGTTAACAGCGACAACAACATCGTAAACACCCTCAACGAAGCCTTGACCTGAAGACGCTTTTTCCATGTTGAATGTCTTGAAGACTATACGACCGGCCTCCTTGGCGAAGCGCTCCTCTGTGTCGATGAAAAAGCCACTGGAGATGTCTGTGAAGGTGTAAGACGAATATGTGTCGCCCATTTCCTTGAGTACAGCACTGGTGGTTGCGCCCGTTCCTGCACCAACTTCGAAGATATCCAAGCTTGGGTGACGGTGCGCAATCTGCGACAGGATGCGAGCTAACCAGCGCCCAGTGGGGCCAGAGCATATGGCATTCTACTCGTAGAAGGCTCGGAGCAGGCCGTCCTTATTCATATGCTCTAGCATCGAAGTCCCGGAGCGGATGACGTCAATTAGATTATCTCCAACGACTTTGACAAACTTGATATCTTTTCTTCCTTCTTAAGGTGCTAGAAGCTGAGCAATCGTTTCACGAGTGTCGGCGTTGCACTCCGCCTTGACCTTGGGGTGCGCGTCACGACTGACCATATCCACCATGCGATCCCACCAACTCAGATAACGTTGGAAATGTGGGAGGAGGTCGTGCCTATCGTTGGGCGGGATCGAGAGCGAAGCATTACGTGCAAACCAATAAGCGGCACGGTCAACGACCTTGTACATCTGGACCTCAAATTCGGACATGGTTTCACCATTAGCAGCCACCTGTCCGTCTGGAAATGCAACACCGTATTCGAATTTGGAAAAGATCGGAAGATCATTCTTCGATGTAGCTCTTGAGAATGGAACGAGGGTGGCTCCTTCAAACTGCACGAACGCATGCTCGCCCTCCCCCGTGGTCAAATAAATGTCTCCCACCACTGTAGAGGGTTTCCTGCTTCGAATGTGGCTTTCGTAGCGCAGAGTAGCCTGTTTGCCTCCTTCACTAAGACTTGTAAAGTAAGGATTGATAGTGACTGAGGAGATAGACACCGGAACATGCAACGACCAGATTGAGGTGTCGCCGGGGTATGACCAGGCTGCGAACACGGTCTGCAGGGCAGAGTCGAGCATGCCGGGGTGCAATGCGAGATTGTCGTCCCAACCGGTTCCAGATTGGTCTTGTAGGTCTCCAGTGCTGTAGTCAAGTTTACGACGGATATTTGAGAGGCCACGGAACGGCGGAGCATAGTCGTAACCAATACCTGACAGGTTGGCGTAGAACCGTTCCTCATCAACATCTACAAGATTATAGGCGTCCGCCTTCACAACCGGAAGAATATCTGGCTCGGCAGGGGCGAGACGACACCACACGCGCCCTTTGGCGTTCAGCACTGAGGCAGCCGCTCCCTCGGGCACAGAGTAGCAAGCCCACTCAGCCGTCACCTCTCCGTTACTGACATTGACAGAAGTGACACTGAATATCGCCTCGACGGTGGACGAATCGTCGTTAAATGCGATGGCGCGTGGAATGTCGATATCTTGAAGCCTAATAAGGCTGACCGGAGTATCCGGGCAGGACTGTTGACTGACAGCAATAATTGCCTCTACTGCCATGCTTACATACCCTGTAGCAGGGAACACCGTCTGCCCTTGAAGCATGTGGCCCTTGAGCCAATGCAATTTGCTTGGCTGAAGCATTTTCCTCCATTGAAACTCGCCCGGAGTTACCGCTTCAGAACAAGGGTTGCCTAGGACTGCATTGGTCACGTGCCTCGGGTCTCTGTGCTTGTAGTGGTTCGGGATTCGGCTGTTAAACCAGTAGCTGCGCTGGTGGTCAAACGGGTAAGGGGGCAGATCTTGAAGCACTGATGGGTTTCCTTCCCCGGACAACAAGGCCTGTACGGCGAAGAATCGGATGCTCTCCGACCCTAATTGTGCCCAAATGTATCCGAGTGCGGAGCTGAGCTGGTCAACATCGTGTTTGCCACGGGAGAGTAACGAGGTATATGGTGTGCTTGATTCTGCTCGGAGCGCGTCTAATGTGGCTAGAGCAGGACCTTGAAGCGCAGCATGCGGGCCAACCTCAATGGCTACGTCAAATGCACCATTGTGCAAGATAGCAGCATTGAGTGCACCGGCAAACTCAACAGTATTGCACATGTTGTCCACCCAGTACTGATTCGAGAGCGCGTCTGGAGTCATAACCATTCCTCTGTGCACGGATGAAAACCAATGCGTTGCCACGTCGTCGGACGGCCGAAGGGTCTTTATGCCACAGCCTGACAAGGAGGCAAGATAAGGACCAGCACAGGACAGCATGTGGGCGCTGTGGTTGGCCGTGTCCACTTTGAGCTTTCGCGCAAACGTACGCTCCGCTTTCAATACTGCTTCTGCCTCGTTTATGGCATCTTCATCGCCGCAAAGTGTGACACTGGAATTGGAGTTCACTGCGGCTACCTGCAATCGCCCTTCGAACCTTGCTTCCCGGCATAGGGCGGCTGCATCTTCTGCCGAAGCGCCGATAGCCATCATGGCACCACGAGGAGAATGAGCATTTGGGCTTGCAGACCGCTTGGCGTGAACGCCTCGGAAATAGGCGACTCTGATGGCGTCTTGGGCGGAAAGAAACCCTGCTGCATATGCCGCGCCAGTTTCTCCAGAGGAATGGCCTACAACGGCTGTGAAGTGGACGCCAGCCTCGCGGAGAATATCGACTAGAAGGATCTGGACGGCAGTGCACAGTGGCTGTGAAAGAGCCGCTTGCGCCAATGCGTGAACTCTCTTGAGGTAACGAGAGTTGGTCCTTGAGCTTCCAAGACGGTCTGTCTTCTGCATTCGGGAGACTCTGCAGTGCCTCATCAAGCTGCTCCATTCGGGATGACGCAAAAGGGGAGATCTCGATCAGCTCAGCCCCCATACGAGCCCATTGAGCACCCTGGCCAGTGAAGATGCCTATCACTTTGGCGGCTCGCGGGAGTGTTGCAAAACGGGTGTCGAGGCCAGGGCCTGCTTTCTGATCAGGCGCTGGGCTCACAATGCCCTCCAGCGACTCAATGGCCGCGGGAACGTCCCGCGCCACAATGCTCGTGCGGTATGGGAGTGTAGAGCGCCTGTGTTGGAGCGTATAGGCGAGATCCGTGAGCTTGACGTCTGGGTTTGTCTTTAGGTAGTCTAAATGCCATGAGAGCATTGTTCGAAGCAATGTCGCGGAAGCAGCTGAGAACACTAGTGGCGTGAACAGGGCGACCGAGCTGGAATCTGGCGTGGGTTTAGACAGCGGCAGCTCCAGAATACAGTGAGAATTGGTGCCTCCAAATCCAAAGCTGATAACCAATTTAATCAGCACATGTCGAAGCGCAAGATGAAGGCAACGTACCTGTTCACGCTCGCCCGTCTGACATCACTGCCATTGGTGCTTGGCCACGGTGTTGGGGCAGTGGGAATCTCAAGATGGTCGTAGAAAGGAGCAACCTTCGGGTTCAAATTCTTAAAATGAAGGTTTGGCGGAACAATTCCATGCTTGAGAGCCAAAGACGTCGTAATCTCACTAGCAAGGCCGGCGGTATCTTCAGTGTGGCCAATGACGGTTTTGACCGACCCAACGAGAAGCTTTTCTGAGGTCGATGCAGCACGAGATCCCCCGGGAAAGAGAGCGTTCGCAATTGCCTCTGCCTCTTGGGGGTCACCTGCTTGAGTACCGGTTCCGTGAGCTTGGAAGAACTGTGGCCGATCCTGGGGGTTATTAACGGGGTCCAATCCGGCTTTCGCATAGCACTGCCGAATGAGAGCTGCCTGAGCAAGGCTGCTGGGCATAGTCAAACCAGGAGTACGGTCATCCTGGTTAACACCCGTTTCGCGGATGATGCAGTCGATCGGGTCGTTGTCGGCAAGAGCTTGAGAGAGGGTTTTAAGTACGACGGGAGCCACTCCCTCTCCGCGGGTATAACCGTCCGCAGCGACGTCCCACATGGCGCAACGGCCAGTGGCGGAGAGCATCCCCAATTTGCTCTCCGAGATGTACATTGCTATAGATGCAGTCAGCTCCATAATTCCGACCACTATATGTATCACGGAAAGGACATGGTTGAGACTGACCTGGACTGAGAATCAAACTGGTCCCTGCCGCAACCGCTATCTTGGATCGACCACTGCGGATCGCTTGTACAGCATGATCCAGCGCTACCAAGCTACTCGAACAAGCCGTATCGATGGAGAGACTTGGACCATGCCAATCGAAGAAATAGGAGATGCGGTTAGCAAGTATCCCTCTTTCAAGTCCGGTAGCCGTATAACGTGGCAACGTCTCCCAGTCACGAGTTAACATGGTATTATAGTCGTCACACCTGCAAACATGTCAGTGGCGTTTCTTTCATTTCAGGGAACGGGTGATAGAGGTAATGTGGGACTGGGGAAGAAACACAGATGGAACGTACATACATCCGACATAAACGGCTGTGTCCGAGCCGCGTAACTTCTCCATCGATTGGCCAGCTGCGCACAAGCTATCATAGACAACTCCCATTAGCAATCGCTGCTGCGGGTCCATGGCATCAGCCTCGGCAGCCTGGACATTGAAGAAACCGGCATCGAATTCAGTGACATTGCTTCGACCTTCGTCTTCGAGGCAGTATGACTGCAGAGCATTGGTTGTGCCATGATGTGTTCCCACGGGGTGGTAGAATGCGTCGATGTTGAATCGTGAGTCTGGCGGCTTGCGACTTAGGTCCTTAGGATCACGTATAACGGACCAAAGTTTGGAAGGCGTGTCGGCGCCGCCAGGGAAGCGACATCCTGTGCCGATGATAGCGATAGGCTCCGACATGGTTAGAACCGTGGGCAGCGTTGAGACAACCACGAGATAACCTGAACAGAGAAGGACCAGTTGATTCCAGGTAGTTCCGGTGTAGGGACTGATAGATGTGTTTAGCGAAGGTGGTGGTGGGCGAAGCCTCGATGATTATACCTTTTTCTCTGGCGGACCGGGAGTTGCTCATAATCCCAATACCCGGAATGCGCATTCCTGAAGTGGAAAATGCCATCTTGATTGCCAATTCGGAGGCTTCTTCTTGTGTGGAATCGGATTGAAGCGTCTGCCGGAGAAGTCGGAATAATGCGTCGGATTTCGGAAGGCCTTGCCAAGACAGCAGAACCTCCTACCACATTGCTCCGTTGGAAGTCAGCATCAACCACTCATTGGGTACGGTGCCGCTTTCTAGAGTGCTGAAGTCGAAGGTAAACTGAGCATCCAATTCGCCGGTCTGATTCACTGGTATTCCGTCAGCATGCCGCATAATCTCGCGAAAAGCCATCGTTTTCCCGATGGGACAGAGCTCACATTGGTACATATCCATCGTGTCTTCAGCCATGGCCTGGCTATCTGAAGACGGACTGTTACGATCACCCACACTCTCTCTTATCAGATTGTTATGGAGTCCAGTGAAGCCGATTGCTGCACCATCAGGGTGACCCTCGTCTCCTGCCCTCTTACTCAAAACAAAATCTATGGCATCTGCCGCCTTTCCAGCCGCCTCAGAGACTGTGTTGCGCAGCCAGATTTCTCTGGTGCGGCGAAGTGCTCTCATAATTTCCGCCTCCCTCTGGTCGCAGTGTCTCCTATGTAACAGGGAGCAGAGTATCATTGTCGCTGTCAAGAACTGGTGATTGAGGATCGATGATACGCGCCAACGCATCCTATCGAGTCGGCCCCCGCGGCGCGTTTCCTCGTCCAGGACATGCTGAATATCCAACATGGATACACAGGCCTCTATGCAAGCCTTGCAGGAATACGAAAAAGATGCATCGTTTGCTGATGTCGGCGCCATCACAAAGCGACGGTGCAACATGATCTGGCCTTTGTAGAATAGGTGGCTGATGAAAAGCTGCGACATGAAGACCTCAGGCGGGTCGGTAAGGCTCGCAATTGTTGGACTCCTCCTGAGCGGCGGCGGAATGCTGGCTGCAGCTTCATGCAGCTTCGCCTCAGCCCGCATAACTTCACTGTAGTCACATGGCTTGACACTGGCTGCTATATCGGATATAGTACCTAGCGCCACCAGCAGTCTTCTCCGCGCAATTGTGCCCAGAACGGTCGTCATTTCCGTCTCGGGGCGTGAGGGTGGGAGCTCAAGCATGTCCTGGTCTAAGTCTGTGTCGTTCAGGTTTCGCGGCTCCGCCGTGTCGCACTGCCAGTCTGAGATCATGCGCGGCATTCCCATCTGACTTGAGATGAGGATGTCACCTAACATGACGATGCTCCATAACCGGCGCCGCATCTCGCTTTCCAGGGGCTTGAGACCCGGGAAGTTGTTGGGGTCCCGGTGGCAGCCCATGCGCTTTGCCAGGTTCACCTCAATCGCAAGCAGGAACCAGATATCTTTGTCGGCGTCCGCATGCAGGGCAAATTCAATATACACATAGTGTATCATTGCCTCTAATACATGAGGACCTGACTGGGTGTACTCGCTCAGCATCAGAGACTGTACGATCTTCTCGCGGTACAAGCTAATCTGAGCAGCCTGCTGGTCTGCCCCGTTTTCGGCGGTGAATTCCACGGCTTCGGAAGCCAGCACAGCAAGGCACATCATGCCAAAGAGAAGGCCGACCCAAGCAATTGGCAGATCAGAAGGGTTACCCCAGAAAGTCTCGTACTGCCCCCGTCAGCAAGAGGCTAGCAATGAAAAGAAATGGCAAGGGTATCTACCTGACGGAGGAAGGTTGGCCCATGGACGGCGGCTGACGTATGTCAGAGAGACAGCGGGTTCTTGTTTGGAGGGAACGCTTACCGGATACCAGATCTGAGCGGTTGAAATAGCGCGAAATGTAACGGTCCACAGTGCCTTTGGGAGGAAGAGCAGCGAGGATCTCCTTCTGTGAGATCTTCGCACAGCCGCCATACAACAATAGCGAGTGCCGCCCCGCAGTGACTTCCACGCCACTCTGCGGGGAGTCGGAGCTGGGTGGTGTTCTCATCTGGGGCTGTCGACGACAATGATCCTTTAGATCTGCTATGCTTTCTAGAATTGCAGACCAGTGATCATCGCCGACATATTGCAACTCGGAATCACTTGTGTGTATTACACCGTGGTTATAATGATTTAGGGAAGGGCTCTCCGTGCGTGGTGATGCCAATGAGGGATGTGGATTGATGGGATTCATATCTGGGCTGAAGTTCACCTTACGAACGCTGGACATGACGAGACGCTCTAGTTGAACCAGGCGTTGATGGATACTAGCACTTGCAGCCGGCGGCCTGCTATCTTCCGGGTAAGTGCATTTATGACCCCGTGAGGAACACGTGGAACACGGTTGCAGACGGTCGCACCGCAGTCTGCACAAGTATGAGTTAACGGTACGCGCAAGGCTCAAAAACAAAAAAAAAAAAAAAAAAAAAAAAAAAAAAAAAAAAAAAAAAAAAAGGGCTGCAGCCTTACTTGCGGCGCCGACAAAGATCGCAGGACAGTTGAGGTTTGTCCCTACGTCGACCGGCACCTGCGCGGGGAGTGGGAGTGCTTTGTGCCTCTGTTTTTCGCGCCTGAGGAGCCGTCGACGGTTCCATCGCCATCTCCATGGGGCACATATGGGGAGGTGTGCATGAAAGAAATGATGAATGCACTACTCGGAAGATGCGTGCGTGTAACTGTGAAGTGAAGGGGGGTCCCGCGGTAAAGGGCCCGAAGTCAGCGACTGGCACAAAGCACCTCTCAGTGCTTGGCCAAACTGGCGTGCTTGCGTCCGGGCACTTCAAATGTTCCGGCTCACGTGCATATCACGTGACAGTATCAGTAGCAGGCAGTCACACTTATGTTTCCATGTAGAGTCAGATGCTAGCCGCTCACCAGGGCACCTGAAGGGCGAAAGTGCCCTTGTTACGGCCGTTAATTGAAAGAGATTCCATCGTCGGACGGAGTTGAGATAAGCTTTGCGCTAAGTTGGTAGCACCGCGGCAGCTAGGCTGCGCCATTTTCTACGGTGGACTATTAGCAGGTATCCGGCCAAAATTCAAATCGAATCTGAGAAGCCCTACATACACTACGTACTCGCCGCGTACATACACTGCGCACTCGCTGCGTATATATACTACGTACTTGAACTGCGTGCTTGCTCTGCGTACTCGCTGCGTACTTGCTCTGCGTACATACACTGCGTACTTGCTCTACGTACTTGCTCTGCGTACTTGCTCTGCGTATATATGCTGCGTACTTGCACTGCATACTTGCACTACGTACTTACACTGCGTGCGTATACTGCTAATTCTACGGAGCTTTATCATTGTTGCACCTTCGGCCGCGGGCAGTTTGAATTTTGGCCGGACACCCGATAATAGTCCACCGTAATTTTCCTTATTCATCGACCGTAATCTGACTAATTACTAAGTCACAAAGTAAGCTTAGCTGCCACCTCCCTCAAGCTTAGTTGACCCATCTATTCCAGACACACCGACACCACAAACCAACGACGCATACCCTACGTGCGAGTACGATCCATTGCCCGCAGACGCTCGCCGTACTTGTAGAACAACATCGGAGGGACCGCAAACAGCAACGCGAGAAAGCCGAGCAACGTATTCCCCCACCCATAATCCAATGACCGATACAGTCGCGGTCCAGCCAACGGTAGGAATGTACCTCCCATGTATCGAAGGACATTGTTGGCGCCGAGTGCCGAGGCCGCCCCTTTGGAGCCAAACAGCTCGATCAGATACAGCTGTGTGGGCATCTGTCCCGTGTCAGCCCTGTCGTCATGCCCGCCCTCTCTAGCTGCGCAGAACTTACGAGAACAAAGTAGGCTCCAAGCCCGATGAAGAAGGTTCCAATTATGGGAACAATCCAATGCACCTTGTAGTACACCGTCCAGCCGTAGATGAAGAGGCCAAAGGCGACGCAAGGACTGAGCCAAATCATCAGCACTAGGCGATACTCGGGCTTGGGCGTGGTTACGCCGTCGGACTTCATGCGAGCCGCTTGTATGCGGGGATTCAGTTTTCCAAACACCACCACGCCCAGAACGAGGGCAATGCCCAGCCCGAGATACACCAACCCTGATACTGAGGGAGAAAACCCGTATTGGCCTCGGAAAACGTCGTTGAACGTGGTGAAGAGGAGGTAAATGACCCCGAATACCAAGGCAGCGTACAGAGACAGAGCCAATACGACAGGCGACCGTAGTAGAAGCATTGTAGGGCGCACCAGCGCCTGAGCAAGGACTTGCTGGACCGTCAACTTCTGGGCGAGACTGGACCGCAGGCGTGTGTTTCCAGTCGACGCACGAAGCTTAGCCGCCTTCTTCTCGAGAATTATCTTTGGTGAGGTCTCCCGCATGATACATAGAGTGCCTACTTCGGCGGCACCACCCAGGATTGCCAAGAGCCAGAAGCACCATCGCCAGCCTTTGCTTGCTGAAAGGAACCCCCCAATGACAGGGCCAAGAACCTAGAGGTAATCAGTCACAAGAGTCTGGAGAACGATTGGCGATCGACGGCTTACCGGCCCTGCCAGCGGGCCCAAACTGAACAACGCCGTCGCAAGCCCCCTTGTTGCTGGCACAGTCACGTCCGCGATTGTACCTCCGCCCAATGCCAGCGGCATGCCGCCAGCACAGCCGGAGAGGAATCTAAAGACCATGAACTGAGCGATTGTCTGGCTCAAGGCATTGCCGACGATGAAAGCGATAAAGATTATGTTGGCTGCATGATAGACCGGTAAGCGACCGAATACCTCTCCCATGGACGAGAAGAACATGGGTCCCAGGGCCAAGCCGAGGAGGAATATGGTCACAGAAAGAGTGCTAACAGTGGCCGAAACCACGTGGAAGTCGGCCATGGCACCTTCGATTCCCGGTGCAACCATCGTCGTGGCCATATTGCTGCGCAGAAGCCGCCCATGTCAACGCCCGAACCGATGGCAGAAGCCGGAGGACTTACGGTATGAGACCCAGTATGGCAACAATGATGATGTGGGACCACCTCTTCGTACCAGACCAGTTGCAGGGTTTGGCTGCATCGTCGGGCCCCTCCCAATCGACCAAATAGGTGGAATCGTCTTTGTCGTCTCTGGGCAATGCGGCCTCGGAGGCGCAATCCTTGTCACTGCTCTCGGATGAAGACATGTGTGAAAGGGAATGAAGAATCGACCGGTGAGCTTTCTCTGGAGCACCCCAAAGTTGTACTCCGTATATAAGGCTAAATAATGTGAGTGGGAACAGGTTGGAGAGAAGTTCATACCCGCGGCGGAGATATTAGAGTGGCCCGCGACCGTTGTATGGCCTCCGACGGAACCTCCGCGGACGTCCGATAAAGCAGTGCTAAGCCTGCCCTACAAGCGGGGAATCCGCGGGCCGGTAACGCAATTCTTGGTTTAACGGTTCTCCCTGCTTACAACCTGCAATCCTGACTTGCGCGTGTGTTCGCCTGCATTACTGTAATACTGTGTACACAGTAATGCCATGTGCATTCCAGGTTCAGGGGCCGAGGGTTGGGGCCAGGGGAGATTGAGGCGTCCGCCGCTCCCGCAGCCTCCCGACGCCCTAACGGTTATCTGGATGATCGTACCAATCACTGGTCGCCGTTTGTCGCGTAAGGCAAATGTGCGCTAGCTCGTGGGGGACGTCTTACATGCCTCAACAGTTACACAGCCGAATACTACAGGCACTAAGCTTAAGGTGCCCTCGTATTTTGTCGCCGTCTAAGCTTTAAGGAAGGTGCTGGATTAAAACAGACAGATGATTCGTGCGTCTGAACCTAGCGTCTGAACCTAAGTATTAATAAGATAGGGCATGGCACCACCGCTTTTGGGGCTATATAGATGAAGGGCGACCTACATACCAGCAACGCGGCGCTTAGGATATCGACTGCCAGTCTCCTTACACTAGAATTCACGGATCCATGGCAGACCGACACCGTTCTGCCGAACACATTCAGCTTCGATGACTTTGCAATGTTGGACGACCTGGGCAGTTGCACAAAACAAGTTGGGCTAGACGATAATTCAATGGCCCGATCTTCGATCGACAGTAGTGACGACACAACACTGCAAACATGAAGCCGACCTGGGTCGTGCACCGGGCCCATCAGCGACTTTGACATGGGCATGGACAACGCCTGCAAATAGCGACCAATTCCAGCCATTGACCTCACTACCATCCTTGCCGAGATGGGTGCCTACAAGACTCGCATCTCCAAACTAAGTGACTGTCCGCTTCACGACTACCCCGTTGGCGATGCACTCTTCCTATCTCATCGGTTTCACGCCACCCTTATCCGGACTAATAACAACTCTTCCGGCTCTTCGTCTGGTTATTACGCAAACACACCGACCATGCTGCTGGCATTCTCATGTTTTATGACCCTCACACGCACATATTCGGTCATTTTCGACTTCCTGCTCGAGCAATACCCCGAATGCTCGAAGGTCATTATGCAATCCAATGCACTGACCTACCTTTTGGGTCCGATATCAATCTCTACCGGGGGCTAAGACTTTCACAACTGCAGTCATTATGCCTTTGCTCCGGCTGGAACCCTGCAAAGAAGGCCGTCACCATGCTCCTCAAGTCCTTACGCGATACTGAGGCCTTCCTCGCACTACCGCAGAATCTGAGAGCCGTCGCAGCTACAGAAACAGACTTGCATATAGAACTAGTGCCAAAGGCGACAGAGAACCTGTCATTGTTTGGAGACAGTTCAATGGCCATGCCGACCAACGATTACCTGTACAAAGCGATGGAATCGCAGGCGAAGCGGCTCCGGGACCAGATAGAAAGGGCCGAGGCGTTGTTGAAAACATGGAGAGCGCTGTGCAGCCACACTCCTCCAGCTTCACCTCGGGAAGGATAAACTCCAGCTTCGCCTCAGGAGGGATAAGAACCACAGATTTCCGGGCTTCCGGTCACGTCTTTCTCATAGATGAGGATGTGTTTCTAGACTTCTGCTTGCGTGCCTGATAGGTTATCTTCTAGTCCCCAAGTTTGGATATAAAAAAAATGAGAAACGAATTCATACTGCCCAAAATCTCGCAATGTTTTCTGAGTTTCCTGCTGCGTTACGTCGCCATGCATACCGCATGCATGCTCCCAGTTCTGCGGAATCGAGCGAGATGCATGAATTATCGCTAACAGTGCCGGCATCAAATGCTGTGCTCCCACCAGTCTGTTGAGTCAGCACCGAGATGCGTCTGCAAACCCAGTGTAGACCGTTTTTGGTCGGACCGTCCGAATTTCCTTGATTGGAATACGACTCGGAGAAAGAAACAGCTGGATAGGTAACCAAAAGGCCGTAGTTCCTCCACCAGTCGGAGTGTTTGCCCAAATGTGTTCCAGCAGAATGTTCCCAGAAAAACACTGGCTATGGCCCGAAGTGGTGTGGCCTTCTATGCAGTGTAAAGAAATATCTCCATTTTCACACCATAAATTCTGTCTCTAGGCCTTCCCCTCTTCAACAGAGAGCGCCGCGGAAATCACATACAGGGAACCATGTATCCAAAATCTGCCGTGATCGTACGTCTACCTTCCTCTCTCGCACCGCCCCCCTGCTGACCTCAATCCAGGTTGGCGGTTCCGTTGCAGGTCTCCTCCAAGGGTTACAGCTCAAACGCAAGGGCACCAATGTGATTGTGCTCGAGCAAGATCCCAACAAGAACCGTCATACCCACGAATCAGGCGTCACAATCGGTCCTAGTGTCGTTGGCCTGCTACGCAAATATGATGCTACAGGCCTTCCACCGTCCATATTCACGGAGTACATGAGCCTCGCGTGGCGGAAGCGGCTCCGGGTGGTGAACAGGTACTACCCCCATAACATGAGTAACTGAGGATACCTGTATCTGCTTCTGCGAGCCAACTTCGATGGGATGGAGTCTGCGACGATTCCCAAGCCACCGGGACCAAAGGAAGGAGACGGTGCGGTGGAGTATCGGCAGGGCAAACGAGCTGTGGGCGTGAGCTACAACAGAGAGAAAGGTATCGTTACCGTGAAGTACGTCGATGTGATAACCGGGGAAGAGGACAGCGTTAGCGCAGAGTCGGTTATTGTCGCGGATGGCGTGCACACGTCGATCGCCAAAATGCTGCAGATACCGATTCGCAAGGATTATGCGGGATACATCGCCTGGCGCGGGACAGTGCCGGAGTCGCGATTGTCGAGAGAAACCATTGAGTACTTCTCGAATCGTCTGAACTTCACGCTGCTGAAAGGAACCTACTTCATCAGGTAATGACTGCACCGCCCCCCTAACACGAACTTGCGCTTAACGTATGCAGTTACTTTATCCCCACCGAGACAGGCCGCATTGAACCCGGGAAACGCCTCCTGAACTGGGTCTGGTACTTCGTCGTCCCCGAAGGCTCGCCCGAACTGACCGAAATCTTCACGGACGTCAATGGCAAATTCCACCCTTCCACCGTCCCTCATGGACTCATCAAGCCGAACATATGGGCCGCCCAGATTGCCCGCTACAAGGACCAAATGATCGCTCCTCTGGCCGAAGCGGTTACCCAAACGCCTCTTCCCTTCGTCACGAAGGTGGCCGAGTCGGAGATCCAGCAAGCCAGCCACTTTGACAATCGTCTAGTGGTGGTTGGAGATGCGTTCACGGCTCTGAGGTCTCATATGGGTATGGCATCTGAGCAGGCGGCGCGCCACTGCTGGCAGATGGATCGTGTTTGACGAGGAGAGATTACGCAGGAGCAGCGAGATAGAGAGGCGAGGATGTATGCGCAGAAGTTTCTGCTTATCAATAGGTTGATTGGGCTGATCGGGCTGGGACACTATGTCAGTGTCGTCAAGACGCTGTGGGCGCTTCTACTTTTGTCTGTCCGTCACAAGTTTACGAGATCATGAGTTAGACATAGTTATTTGCTTGTCAAAATGACAGCTGCATTCAGCATGGCGGAGCATTCTGAATACTATCTTGCTGTATTGCAATGGTGATGTCAACGCCGCCGCGCAATATCGGGTATCGAGTTGGCACGGCGGGGAATAAAATGCTTCTGCGACAGGATAATTAGACAGTCGTATCACATATTCCTACGAATCACGGTAGAGGGACGGAAAACCCGAAACACGGGAGATCACAATGTCGAGGAAGATAGAACAGGAGCAATACCCTGACCTTACAATTGCCCAACAACTTTCCCCCTTTAGTAACAAGCCCCTGCTCTAGTACCCTACTTGTACAACCGGAGGTTTTAGTCGAATGAGCGGATTGCAGTTTCCGGTTCCTATGATAGATGAAGTGGATCCACTTTCCGGAAATCCGCGCTGCTCAGGACATTACACATTATAGGGTATACACCAATCGAAGCTGCCCGCGGAAGTCCGAGATTCGTATTCGATAGATCGGAACTAGTCTAGGTGTTATCACCGTAGCCGCTGTCTAACGCGATCAGGTTAATCTTCGCTCAGGTTACACATCTGAGTAAGATCCCCCACCACGTAGCGAGAAGTGCTCCGTAGCGAGAAAATTCACAGGTACCTAGACTTCAAAGTAGCAAATACCCATCTACATCCGAGATATCTGTACCGCATTGTTCGTTGTAGATGCTAGGGGTCTTCTTCTACCTACCCAACGCCGCTTCTCGCAAAATTACCAACCTCGTTGTCGCCTGCGCGGCCTTTCAAAGGAGGGTCCTTGATTTACGGTGGAGCGCAGCTCCTCCACTCTAACTCCAACACCAGACTTTACGCCGCTTAAAGTTGTAATAATGCTGTATTAGCATCGTGTACCCTAACTAGCACTGCTAATAAGTTATTATCAGCTCTATACGGCTGAAAAAAGATAATTCATGCAATGTCACCATGCTGATTGGTACCTGCTAGTCTAAGCGAAAAGACCTTAGTTGCCTTAAAATGCTATCTACGTATCTACATAATAATTATGGTTTAATATAAGCTACAGATGCTGGCAAGCCAAGCCTGTGGCTGGTAAGCTTATGGCGGTATACACACGGCCCAATTAACCTTCCCCTGCGTGTAATAGGCTGGTGCCCAGAGGGCTTAGCCAGATGAGATCTGGGGTAATTCCGCCTCGGAGACAAGTTGGAAACCGGTAGATAGGTTGTTCCGCTCTGAAAGGGATGGGATGAAGACCCATTACTCAACCCCTTTGGAGCCTTGTCAATTCCATACCGTTATCAGGCATCTGCAAGCTTTGCGCGGCCATTACAAGCATAACCAACATCGCGATTGTTCTTGTCAGAGGCAGATATCTTGAGGGATAATTGGCTATAGAAGTTATATACATTAATTATAGGTCTGCTAGCATATAAGTAAGAGACTTAGAAGGTCTAAAGTGCGAACTTCTCCCGCTACAGCGTACGTTCTGCCACGTGGTAATGGACGTTCACGAAAGTAGGACGTATGTCATCTTCGCCTGTGCAGGCCTGTGTACCGCTCGGATATTGTTTAGTACAGACCGCTGCAGCACTCAGCATACACCTTGCACTAACGTAGCGTTAGCTAGCATAAGGATTGCAAAGTAACAACAATAGTAGCCTTGCATTATATAGCATAGCTCTCTATCCTGTCGCGTATTTGCGCTAATACCCGCTCTGACAGCTGTCGAGATGGATGCGTAGCGGGCATTGTAGTCTCCTTGACCTTGACTACGTGCTCCAGCAGCCCTACAGCCTCTTTCATCTGCCCATTCGCCCAGTACACACTAGCAAGCACGTGCTGCGATGCCAGCCGATCAGGGTGAGTCTCTGCCAGCGTAGTCTCCCGGACCTTGACTACATGCTCCAGCAGCCCTACGGCCTCCTTCGTCTGCCTATTAGCCTGGTACGCAAAACCAAGCGTGTGCTGTGATGCCAGCCGATCAGGGTGAGTCTCTGCCAGCATAGTCTCCTGGACCTTGACCACGTACTCCAGCAGCCCTACGGCCTCCTTCATCTGCCTATTCGCCTGGTACGCAAAACCAAGCGCATGCTGTGATGCCAGCCGATCAGGGTGAGTCTCTGCCAGCGTAGTCTCCTGGACCTTGACTACGTGCTCCAGCAGCCCTACGGCCTCCTTCGTCTGCC